GGCTGCGATGCGCTTTGCTAAGCTCAGTTGTCAAATCCCGAGGATCCTCTCGAGCCGGTGTGATTGGACGAAGTTGACTCAAAACGGGAATTTCACTGAACGGAGCGGCAAGCGGTGAAGCTTGGAGCTTGGTGCGATGAAATGCGTGAATCCGTGTCGAATGGATTTGAATCGAAGGACAATGGAACCCGCCTAATTGCCTCACTAAAACAACCGTCAACTCCTTGAGCAGAAAGGAACCAAGTCACATCAGCTACCGCCAACTTTAGCTAGGCAATTTGATTTTTTACATGAAAACGGTTGTGCGGATTTTTCTGCAAATTTCAGTGAATTTTCTGCATAGTACGAATGAAATTCCTCGAAATTTTCAAACGAATCCGCATGAACGTTCTCTCGTTAAACATTAAATTGCTTAAAATTTGGCAATAGCTGATATGGCTTGGTTCCTTTCTGCTGAACGCAGTCCACTTCACTCATCGGGTATTCACTGGTTCTCCAAATTTTTATGGCTCATTGATATCTGACGGATGGTCAGATGATGTACCTATCCGTCGCTCTTCATGAGCCAATTTTGTTGAGTTTCGGGCTCACCTTCGAAATCCCTGAGTTTTCCTGACTATTTTTGATTTTCCTGAAAATTTTCGGATTCCCTGACTTTCCCTGACATTCGAATAAAACTTCTTCTTTGATTTTCCCCCCTTTATATCACGTTCACTTCTGCTAAATGCACCTCGCAAAATTCCCTGACTTCCTGTGGATTCCGTGTCTTTCCCAGATAACCCTTTTTATCCCGCCATATCACTAATTTGTTTAAAATTTGTTCCCAGGGTTTTGTGATTCCTGTAAATATTCGAGTCACCGATGCCAACGATAATGCTCCCCAATTCGTAAATGCACCGTACGTTTTAAATATATCCGAGGTAAGTTTTCAAACAATCCTTTAACAGAAGAATAAATCATCAGTAAAAACGATATCGATGGCTAAAGTCAAAATATGGGCATCTTCGAATGTTGCGATACAAATCTCAGTTTAAAACTTTAACTTATTCACTAGAGCAAACGCAGCCCCAGAGCAACTTAATTTCAAAACATTATGCGATTTTTCCGTTTGAAAATGTAACTTGAGCTCATGCGTGTACTAGCGATTGGTTAATTTGTATTTAGCTGCAAACACGCTAACTGGTAGATAATTTCTATTTCATACATTCGGTGGAAAATAGTTAGGTACAGTGTCAATGTTTTCAGTATGCAGATTGAGGTGCAAATATAACAGTATTGGATTTTCATAACTGAGCAGATCGCAATCAATTACAATTTCTTTTCTTTCCCGCTCATAGGTGACGGTTGTGGGAACTCGTGTCTTGCAAGGTGTCAAAGCTGTAGATGCAGATCAACAAGGACCCTTCTCGACAGTGCAATACTCAGTGCTTTCTGGGCCACACTCGGTAAGTGGTAAAATAAATTTCCTTCCATTCATTTATAAAAAACGCGTTTGACTACAATTTTCCCCTAATTAAGGACTAACAGGGTAAGTATGTATTTAGCACTGGTTTGGAAAAAATTGCCGCTCTTGACAAAATTTGCATTTCCGTTGAAAGAAATAGTCTATTCCTCTCCGTTTAAAAAAAAAAATAAAAAAAAATAAAAAAAAAAAAACTTGTGAGTTGCTATTATACTGGCGTGCTTCTGAGAAAACGTGTGTATTTACTCCCTTTGATATTTTTTAAAAACTGCAGTACTGCACGGCTCTTGGCGTAAAAAAAAGAGCACAATTACAAATAACTCATTGTGGAAGAAAACAAAGCGTTTTATTCGCGCCCCGCTCACAGTGTGAAGTAGATTTACATTAAAGATACGGACAATTCTACAATTGATGAATCATTAAGTATTTTTGATTATAAGTTATTTACTATTTCTGATTCTTCATTCATTACAAATAGTGAATTAGATATTGTTTTAAACAATTTATGAAAGTTGAACTCGAAATAGTTCAAAATGATTCCAATAGTCCCGGTTCAAAGCCGCAATCGGAGGCTAAAACGATTTGCAGGTTTGGGCAAGCTTTTTGCGGATACGACGAATATGATAAATGAATACAATTATTCGCACTCTACTGTCATGCTTGTTGCATATGCAATTAAATTAAGGCGTCATGGTTTTTTACAAGCTCGCATCGCCATAAATTGTGACAGATCGTTCAAAGCTTTGTTTCGAAGCCAATAGCTTGAGTAGTACTTAAATTACTCCAAAAAGTACTTAACTCATATAGCCCAGCTATGAATTAAAACTTACAAAGTATGGATACTTGTTAATATCTCTGGAACAGTTGAAGATGTATATTGTGTCGAACAATATTCACAAGCATTTGTAATAGAGCTTGTATTTTAGCCCCCTCATTTATGAGACTCACGTTTGAAGGATGAATAAAAGTACCCAACGGTTCGTTATAGTAACTTGCTAAAGGTGCTCTCTGAGATTGAAGAACTGATCACGGCACCAAAAATTTTAATGCACTCCCAGATAGTTAGGGGTCGTAAAAGTTCATTTTTAAATATGTTTCCTTTTTATGTATAGAGGGTATGGTAGTGGTTCTCTAAAAAAGGTTGAAAAAATACTTTTCTCATTCATATTTCGTGTTTACATGCAGCCTGTCTTCTTTAATGGGACTTTGGAGGAAACAGAGGTCCGTACTCACCCATTCATCTTGATGTTACAGTAGTGCGATACCCCAGTTGGTGATGAGATATGTCTACATCGCGGTGCAGCAAAAATCTCTCAAAATTTGTTTCCTTAAATAGAAATAGTTTTAAAATTGCTAGTGAAATCATCTTTAGGCAGCAGTAATAATGAAGAAAACTTCCAATTCTATTGATTTTACAGCAAAGAGTTTGCTGGAAAACAACTCATCGTTAACTTTGGTGCCACACGGTAACACGCTGCACTGCATGCATCTAAAAGCGCCTTCAATATGGTTGATATGCAATTTAATCTACCTCCAGAGAACAGCATGTGACCAATGCGGTCTAACAATAAGTGCGCTGAGCCGTGCGCCAGTCGCCAGTGCGCCTGCGTGCTCCGCTCCGAACACCACCTCGTGCACCTCAACTCAAAATACTCATATCGACGGTGAAACTACCAAACCACGTATCTCGGTTTGCGACGTCGCAGACTTCCTGTCATACTTTATTTTTTAAATAGAAAACTACTCCACGTCATATCGTGAAAACGTCCATGATTTTTCCTCTTGGTGCGGAGAAAAATCTGTGAAAATTATAAGGAATGATATAAATTTGATCGCCTTCAAAAAATTAAAATGTGAGTGGAGATTTTTAAACACCGCAAACGAGATACGTGGTCTGGTAGTTTCACCGTCGATATACTCCAATACTAATCTACTCATCTACTCAATAATATTTTGTCATTTCTCTTGACGAGAGTTTGAAAACTTGAATCTCTTATTCGTCTTCTAATTTGGAAGGGACCGAACGGAGTAAGCTTGAGATTGAGACGGTAACCGATTATAATGACGATAACCCGAAAAAAAACTCAATGTTCTACAAAATGTCAATGCATTCCAGTACATTAAATAATTTTCAATTGTTTTTTCTTTTCAGGACTATTTTGTCTTCATCAACGGCCTAGAGGGTACCCTAGTCTTAAGGAAAGCCTTGGATTATGAGACTCTCTCCAATTTCACGCTCGTTATTCGAGCACAGGTAATTTAATCTTTCGCACTTATTTCACACGAGTCAAGTTCTGGAGACGGAAAAGCTTTTATCGATATCAGAAATTCGAAAAAAGAGACTTTTTGCTAGCAGTAATTTGCCAAACACAGTGCGATCAGCGAGGCGCAGCGGCGGAAGTTAAAATTATTATACTACATATGTTTGTTCTGTTTGGCGCAATGCGTGAAGTATTCCTGCAGTCTTGTAGGCGCTATACGTTTCATGCCAACCGCTCCTGACCGCACTGTGTTTCACGCAATGCGTGAAGTATTCATGCAGTCTTGTAGGCGCTACGCGTTTCATGCCGACCGCTGGCTGCTGACCGCACTGTGTTTGGCGCAATGGGTGAAGTATTCATGCAGTCTTGTAGGCGCTAGTATATGTTACATGCCGACCGCCGCGCCGAGGGCTTGTCCTTTTCATCTCAAGTTCTCGTAATCATTCCTCTCTACGCTAACCTCCTGGCCAAATTGCGCGTTCAGTTCCTCTCAACTCGACTAATTAAAGACACTGTCTCTTGTATCACCGAAAAACGGCAAAAGTAGAAATTACTATACTCTCAGGAAAGAGAGATTTTGTCCCCTTATCTCATTGATAATTTTTTTTTTTCTGAATCCGATTTTTTTTATACCTACATTTATCTGTCTTACGGGTGCGTTACGATGCGAGAGTCAAAAAATCTGATTTTCAAAGATACGTATCACTTGATCGACCCCTATGGGCGTGATTCATATAGCCGTGGAACGCGAGCTTCACAGAGGCGGGAAATTTGAAACTGTGGAAAAAAGAGTCACGGGCTATATAGACATATCGTCCGTTCTAGGCTCAGAGGCCGCAAGTTCCGGGTGCTGGAGCCGTAGCTTCCATTGCTCCGGATGCTACGCCCGGAACTTTCGGCCTCCGAGCCCGGAACGCGGACAGTGTCTATATAGCTCGTGAGTACCGCTTCTACGGCCGGGATTTTTTTTTCGGTGAGCGCGCATGTTTGATGGATTTTCTTCTCAGTAGCTTCATTCTTTGCCACTAATATTGAAGAGTAAGGAATTTTTGGATAAAGGTTTCTAAATGCCAATTTGGTACTCCTCGCCCTTTGAAAATAATTGAGTTAAGTTGCAGTTTACTAACGTAATGAAGATATTGAATTTGATGTTGGAAATATAATTGAATATGATAAAATTATTCCATTTCAAGGCATGAATTATCTTTCCCTTGAAAATTCGGTCTACGATGCCTTAAATGAAGAGGTAGGAAAAGCTCTTCGGTTAAGATATGATGACCAATTTGAACAGGACCTTGCTTACTCAAATCAGAGAATGCTTCCCAATTCCATCAGTCTTTTAAAAATATTTCGAAAGATGTATTTATTCTGTTTTGCTTTTTATTCATTCAAACTCCAGGATCAAGGAAGTCCACCGCAATGGTCAGATACCCTGCTCCATGTGAATGTAATTGATGCTGATGACCAAAATCCCAAATTCTATCATGATCACTACACGGCAACTCTTCCTGAAGCTACACAACAGGTACTTGTTCTAGATGTTTGCATTTTTAAACACAGGTCATCTAGCATGTATTGGAACAAATATGGCTGCATCAAAAACCTTTGCCAACACATTTTTTACTTCCTAATGGAATTTTCATTACGGTATACAAAATTTCATGTGAACATAATTGAGTGATTGATTCTACAACAGGCTAATTTTTTTATTTAATTTTATTTTATGATGAGCACTATTAAAAGTGAGCGTTTCAGCGGCCAAAAAGAAATCAACATTTTAAATTTTAGCATCAACTGATTTATACAGGAAAATAATATTCTGATAAGTCTTTTTCGACGAAAGAACTGGCTACAGGAAGGTTACTAAAAGGTGCAGAAGGTGTTTACCTCTAGATTACATTGTTCCAGAATGTCTGGTGCAAATTGATATTTTAAAGAGGAAGCCATCAGCAGCTTTTTCTGGAATATTTTTTTAAAAATGATAAAATCATGAAGAATATTCAGTAAAAGTCTTAGAATAATACATGCGTTTGCTTTGCTAATAATGCGTGAGATGATAGCTGAAATTTTGAAAAACTGCAACAGACGGATGCCTTTCCAGCACCTAGCACATCAATAATTTATGTGACAGAAATCTCACAGCATTATGTTGTCAAGGTTTCTGTCAAAAAGTAGAGCATTATTGAAAATAAGGCTATAGCAGCTGGAAATGGCTGTATTCATCCATATTATCATCTTAATCTTTATTAAACTCAATGTGTCAGACGATCAATATTGATGATGAAACTCAATGAAGCTTGAGACTTCCACATAATTTACAGGACTTCACCAGCCCTCTGAATAATTAGTTTCCTTACAATTGAGGAATTGAGGAGGATATGGATGAATTATCTACTTTATTCGTGAAAATGCAAAAATAAGCACCAGAGTGATTAAACCAAGAGAGAGAGAGAAAATAAAAAAATTACGTTCATCATTTACGAATCTGGATAACAGTTGTTTTTTCAATAATTTTGCAGGGCACAAGACTGAAAATTTTCCCTGATGAAATAGCAGCATATGATCAAGATATTGGTATCAATGCACCTGTTTATTATACATTTAATGCAGGTAAGTCATCTATTCATAAAGGAAAAATAAAATCTAGGTAGTTAATACTTTTAAAAAATGATGGGGGGAAAAAAAATCCATCATTTTAAAAACACAAAAAAGAATAAGGATTAAAGAGTTACTGATATTGGTGACTTAATGACAAAACGTTTTTGGTAATAACTCCTAAAAGGATGAGCAAATTTCTTATCCTTTCTTTTTCAGTCAGCATTGACAGCCTCATCCCCTCCACGCAAATCCCCTTTGCCCTTTTCCCTTAAATTGGCGCGAAGACGAAGTCAAGTATTTTTAATCAAACAAACTTTTCAGATCAGTTAAAAACACAAAAGAGAAGAGAATGCATCTCCAAGTACTGTAAAAATTAACATTTATTGCCATTTTATTTGTGATGGCTCTACTCCAAAAACAAAACCTTGAAATCTTAATATTAATATGCTTCTGTTTAAATAAGTAAGAAAGCATAAAAGCTCAAAATGCCTGTTCCCCCTCCTCCTTAATGTAATAATGATAACAAAATTTATGAGTTAATTTTGCTCGAAGATTAAATTTGTAAATTGAATTAATTGTGATGAAATCTACTATTTCAGATGGCATTGAATACAGATACTTTGAAGTTGATCGAGCAAGTGCTCATATTTCGACAAAACGAGCAATTTCTGAGGATGAATTGCTTCAGCCAGTGACTATAGTGATTAAGGTAATTTTTCTGTTCTTTCTTTATTGTTGAGACACAAGCATGAAAGCTCATTGAGAACGAATGAGGAAAGATTTTTAAGTGATCTTAGCCACTAATCCATCGATCAAATTAAATTTGTTTTTGTAATGAGTGAAAGACCAACTCTCGCCTTAAATTAGACATAGCAAAAAAATAGGTTTAAGTTTTAATATTTTTCAACATTTTGCAAAATTTATCAATGACTCATCATCTGGTAAATATCATTTCATACTATGCAGTGAGCTTTCAAAATAACCCGATGCAATCCTCAGAATTATGATGAATAATCTTCATTGGATCAGTGGGATGAGTTTGGTTTGAATTACTGATAATGCATGTATTTGTATCATTTTTCAGGCTACACAATTTGACAATGCAGATAGGTATGCTCTGGCAACACTGACTGTAGCACGACCAGGTTCTTCAACTCGAGACCTAACTTTCCTGCAAAGCCATTACTACGCTGGTGTTTTAGAAAATACTCCTATCGGTAGTGTTATTCTCACAGTTGTGACAAATAAACCTAGGAATAAGGTAATTTGGCTTTTTCCTCTTTTCCAAGATATTCAGTTCAACAACATGCTTTTAAGGCGCAACTAATTAGGTACTGGAGATGTGGTATTTATAGGATTCTGAGTCATTCTCTCTACAAGAAATCTTGAAGTGACCAAAATACCAGATAATTAGACAAGGTCTGATAGATTTTAACTTTATTTGAGAAAAAATAAAAATTGACATGACGTACATAATTTTAGGCAGCCGCTAAACCCTTGATACTGTTTCATTCCAAAAACATTGATACGTAAGTGAAAGGAGACCATCATGTGTCTTAATATGTACTTCTTGCTATTCAAATTATTTTAAAGCAAAGCTAAAAAACAAGGATTGTAAGATTTATAATGGACCACTAGATAAGGTACGAGTTAAAGGATTCTGATACATGTTTCTTAACCAGAATTTCATGTAGAACACGATTCGTGCAACAAAAATTACTGAAACCAACTCCTAACGAAGATAGTATCGTTTTTATTTCACATTGGTTACGAGGAATTTGAACTGTCCGCTCACAAGAAACTCAAAGCTCTACGTGAGTCAAATCGCGCACTACAACGGTTTCAGCAAGCTTCTCAATCGAGCAAAGTTCATTTCCCACTCTGCGTTGTTCAAACTATAAACAACTTGCTATAGCTGAGCTAAAGCGTCAAGATTGAGGTTGCCAGATTTTTATATCGCAGAGACTGTCATAGTAACGTTTAGCGCGCGATGTGAATCACGCAGAGCATTGAGTTTTCATGAGCGGGTGGTTTGAATTCAAGCATCTAGAATCATTAAATATCTTTGAAAGGAGATGATTTCGGTAATTTTCGTTGTGCGTATCGTGTTCTATGTGAAATTTTGGTTGAGAAACATGTATCAGAATGCTGAAATTCGTACCTTGTCTGGTGGTCCATTGTAAAATTAGAATGGCTAAAAATTGAAAAAAACTCAAACCTTTCCTTACATCAAATAATTAACATAAGGAAAGTTTTGAGCTCTTTGTAATTTATAGATTCTAATTTTATTTTAACTTCTTGCTGTTTTTCATCTCCTCACCCCTTCTTGTAATGTAAATCCAGCTGTGAATAATACAAGACAGAACACAGGTTTTTTTAGGTCTAAGATACTTTTCTCCAGAAGAAATGAGACCAAATTTGGACCTGTGTGTCACTCTGAGCTACGGTTCTGGCTGTCTTTCTCCGGTGTGATAGAAAACCCAACCTTTCATCACACCAGTACATTATGGAATATACCTATGACTTTTTCTAAAAGAGAGGAGAGACTTACAATTATTAGGTTAAAGCAGAAAAAAAGGACTAAATTAATTTAAATCAAGTTCCAGAATTCAAAATTTAAAACATTAGGGCATTATAAGTTTAAGATTCTGATGAGCTCATCAAACCATCACTTCAAAAGGTTTTGACATATTCAAAAATGTTGAAAAAGAGAGATGCATTACTGATATATTTATCGTTCCACTACAAAAATATCCAAATCTAAATTTTACTTTAACATTTGCAGCGAATTCGATACTGGCTAAGTGAGTATGAAAGCATGTTTCAAGTGACACCGAGTGGAGATATTACACTCTTACAAGCACTGGATTATGAAACTGAGGAGCTGTATACATTTAATGTGCATGCTTCTGATACTTTCTCCGTGAGTATTTTATTATAATACATCATCCTTAAACAGACTAGAACATGCGACATTAATGTTGAAACTAAAAGTACAGACAACTACTCGTAAATGCCCTGAAATGGGGGAAACCAGAGAGAATATTAAGAGTTAACTTTGGCAAGAGAAAATAAAATTGATTTTTTATTTAAATTAGCTCAGATAGATAACTCCGTAATCTTTGCAAGTAACAACTTGATTTTAAAAACAATCTAATACCATTTGAAAAAGAAAAATAACCAGATAGTACTAAGATTCGAGATGTAACGAAAGTATGTGTTATTTTATTTTTCCAAGCATATTCAGGCTGAAGAACACTTCTACTATCTGTTTCTTTCAGTTCTGCACACTATCTGAGAGTTTCAGGAAAAGATTTGTTCCTCTAGTTCTGTGCACTATTAAAGCTTTTAAGGAAAAGATATTAACAGATTCAATTTAAGACTATTTTCCATGCCTTGAAGAGTGAAGCAAAGTCAATGACTGGCATGGGGAGTTTTATACGAGTTGAAATACAAGCAGCGGCTAGTTCAAAACAACAGCTCACCAAAGCCAATCGTGGGGGTCAATGATCATGACTGAAGCCTTTTTTTGTCTACTTCTGGGCACAACATCCCGTCGCCGACCTCCAAGACTTTTGTTTTAAAGTAAAAGGCTTCAGTTGACTGGAGAACAGCACGGATTACAGCTACATTTGTATGCACACATTTGTTAAAATCTGTACATTTGACTACTGCATCTCTAATGGATTCATAAGGGTTCAAAAATGTTGAGTAGTTTATCCTTTTTTTCCTTTTTCTTTCTTTCTCTTTTTTTTTTGTTTAAAATTTGTAATTTTTATTTTGCAGAATGCCACTTGTTTTGTGAACATCACAGTACTGAATGTAAATGACTGGGATCCCAGGTTTAGGTAAGGAAAAGAGGATGATAAAACAAATACGTAAACAATACCTTATGACTGGTAATACAGTCAGAGACTGGACTTAATGAAAATTTTTGAAGTTGGATATGCAAGTTAAAAACAACCTGTTTTTAGCTGAGCATAAAAGCAAATGCTACTGAGGGAAATTCAGATAAAAATATTTTATAAACTTTATGCTAACAGGGTATTTCTCTGATGACTTTTTGAAAATAGCGTGTGACCGGACTTAAGTTTGATCAATGATTGTAAGAATAATTTGAAAAAACTCTCATCAACCACACCAGTCGTGTCTCGGATGATGGCCAGATATAAGAGTGAAACGTGTTAGTAACAACATTCAGTCATGCTGATAAGTAAAAATTTTGAAACATAGCTTGTTAGAAGTATTTTTAAAATTATTGAATAAATACATGTTTCTTCAAAACTATATGTGTAAGAAAATCCTATTTGGTCAGTGAAATCCAAGAAACCTAATAGACACAATAATTTAATTTGACTTAATTTTGACAGGTACTTAAAAAATTTTAAGGGCAAGTTTTCTACCTCAATCCACTACAGTGGGATGGTAGCACATTTTCAAAAAAATAGTAAATTTTTTAGGACATTTTCAGCCAATGGCAGGAATTTTCTTTTAAAGATAAAAATAAATGTCCATTAAAATTAAACTATTGTGATGAAATAATGCTTATAACTACATACAAATCCTAACTCATAGGATGGTAAAGTAAAAACAAGAAAAGTGCCTTCCTTGCTTACACGAAGTTTGAAAATTTTTACTAAATAGTAAAATGGCAATTATTGAAATTTTAGGTATCCTCAATATGAGTTTTTCCTCAATGATGATGCACTAATACCTGGAAGTGTCGTGGGCAAGGTAGAGGCTGCGGATGGAGACAAAAATGATTACATCACACTTTCTCTGCGAGGTCCAGCAGCCAAGTAAGTAATATGATTATAATGCTGAATAGTCTAATGTCTGACAGTTATCACTTTAAATTACACTACAGATGGAACTCATTACATTTGGCAGTTATGTAAAGTGACCGATCTGCAGTCATTTGCAATTGGTAAAACATATTTGATTGGGGTGTATACAAATTTGGAAAAGACTCAATGACTCAATGAGGATGGACCAAATAAACAGGGCAAAAAGTATTCAAGGCACTGTTACACATCCTGATGTTTGTTGAAGGTGTTGACAAACATGATACAGTTCTGGCTCCGCGAGGGGTCAACATTAAGTACGTCTTGATGAGTCCTGACAAGACCATGTAAACAGTAACTTTCGATATGGTCTCTTAATTGAAAAATTGATTAAAAATGAAAAATTGGACATGTATTTCTGGAGGAAATGGTCTGAAATACCGCTGAAGCACTTAAAACCTATACATTTTTGCCAATTTTGGATTGCAGGTTCAAATTTAAGTCTGTTTCAAGACTTTTCAACAAATATGAATAGTGGAAAAACTTAAAAATTGCTTAAACATGCTTACTTTCAGCTGCAAGCATCCAAAGATTGCAGCTGTTATAAGAGAGGGGGGAAATTGAGCCTTTTTGATACTTAATCCTTGTGAATTTATTGAGTTTTAGGGGCCTATCCTGGAGATTTTTCAAATCCAGTTTTAAATGATCAGGACGGTCTGAAATGATTAAATTAATCTGGTTTAATGCTTTACCTTCTTGTTGCAGGATGTTTTCAGTGAATGAAGAAGGAGTTATAACCCTTTGTGATGTCACTGCATTCAACAGTTCTACCGCTCATCTTGTGGCTGTTGCAACTGATAGCGGCATCCCACCAAGACAAGTAAGTCCTCTTCATTTTCAGAATCACTGCAAAACATGAAAACACGATCAGAAGCAATCCTGATGACAAATTAATATAACTGCCCGATTTTGTTTGGGCTCTGGCTGAATAAAAATGAAAAATTGAGACAACTCAGTTCTTTGAAAGTAGGTATGTAAGGTACAAGGTACACACTGAAAACACTGAAGCAACTTTGAAGGAGTGTTGATCCATGATTTTGGTAGTGGTTACAGATTAGAGCAAAAGTTCACCTTCTGTGTAAAAATTGGTAATAAATGCATAAAAGAAAAAAAAGAGTTTGCAGTCAGCAGTTCAAAGATAGAGATGAAATCCATGACTAATTGCTTGAATATGAAATGACGAGCACTCAGATTTAAACAGGTTGAAAATCGGTCTCGAATTCAGAAAGTTAAGTGCACTTAAACTTTAAACTTTAGAGTCAAAGTCTTAACAACTTCTCAAAAGGGATGCCTGTTAGCTTTTTAAAGTCTGATTCTTAACTGATTCTCTTAATAATATAAAATTTAGAGTTTGTCATATTGTTAATGAATTGTCAGTTTACAATTTTGAATTTGTGCCTCTTAAGAACAGACTAAATGGGCAAACTTTCAGTCTTACAATAATATACTGTGCGGAAATATCCTCTTCAGTTTTAAACTTTATGTTGTATGTTTTTTGCCCCCCTGCAAAATTAGGCTTCTGTGCCAGTGATAGTTCATATTCCTGGCGTCATGGTTGGCGGCTGGGCAACACGTGGACCTGGTTTTGTGACTACAGTTATTTTCGGAACCACTCTGAGCGTCCTTGCACTAATAATTATTCTATTATTGGCCTACATCCACAAAAAGTAAGTTTTTTTTCTTCCTATTTTGTTCTCTTCTGCATTTATTTGTATTTTTCCTTATTTTACATGAAATATTTTGCTGTTTCTTAAAAAGGGGAGCAATTCCTTTTACAGGAAGCTATCTACACCTGAGACTCTGTGCTAACATATTTTAAAAATTATGTTTTGTAGAAAATGAATATGCACCTTTCTGAAATTATCGTTGAAATAGGTTAATAAACATTAATGACCTTGAAGACAGTAAGATGCCTAAAAATTATGAATTTACTTTACTGCTTGAATGCTTTCTAAGGCATAGTCCTTTTATTAGTCGCCAAAATGTTATAAATTGGCTAAGGCAAAATTGCTCAACAAGGTTAAAGGTTCTTGATTATAAATTCAAAAAATAAATGGAGAGTTACAAATATTTCAATCCAAGGTAATGGTGCTTTCCATGATATAATCAGATAAAACCTTAAGAAGTTTCCGATAAGGATGAGATATTTCACTTTTTCAGAGATTATTTTGGAGATATCAAAGCAATAGGTCACAGCTGAGGTACCTACCCAAGTTTTGCCTCATCAAATATACTGCTTAAAAATAAAACTGCTCTCTGAAACTAATTCAACAAAACTTTTCTACTTCCAGTAAGAAACAGAAATCTGCCACAAGACTCGAGAACAACATGAATAAATTCGGTGGTTTTGTTGCTAGTCCTGTGTACCCAGAAAAAGTCGTAGGAATTGGTAAAATGGAGAATCCTGTATTCAACGGCGGAAGAAATACATCGCCTTCACAATTTAGCACAGCAACAGTTAAAAGTAAGTTTAAACAATGAAGACGTACAAAACACAAGAAGACTGACCCAGTCTGGTACTTTTCGAAAAGTTATTTTTTTAAAACTTTAGATGACAAGAAAATTGATTTGGACACCTGTTAATAAAAACTGGAGGATCAAATTGATTGAATCAAGAGGAACTAGGAATCATGCAAATCTTATATAAATAGTTGCTTTTGATGTAATTCATTTGCTCACAGTTCTTTTTAACGTAGGTAAGTAAGTAAGTTCAATTTGTCAAAACAAGATAATGCACAAAGTATAATTGCGGCGAGAGAGCGGAGGTTTCTCTATCCAGCAATGTATGGTATGTCATCAATAATTTCTTTTTGCAAATTTGCATCTATGTTGCTAACCCATGCACAAGAAGACATATCCAGGTATTCTTTTTCTCACATTAAGTAATTTTTAATGCTTAAAAGTTAAAATGGTAGAAGAAATCTTTGTTTTCATTATCATACAGGGGATACTTTGAAAAACACTGAGCAGTGAAAAAATGAGAAGGAAGTCGAAGCAACAAGATCTAATTTTTTTTCACAGGTACTTAGATAATCAAGAGTCTCCTCAATTCCACTAAATGTATTTTCCTTAACTTCATTTTTTTCCAGGTATAATGTCACCAAATCGTATGAATAATTCGCAGTTAAGCGCAACAACATCGCACAGAATAAAGCAAAAAATAGCTCCTGCTCCACCTCAAGTGCCTAAATTATCAACTCCTAGTCCACCTCATTCTAGATTATGGCCTCAGGGCTCATTTCCACGCCGAGTGAAAAAGCTGAGTTGGAATGATGAAAGTGATTCATATCAGAGAAGGGTGAGTAGAAAGTAGTCCTTTTTTTTTGTACCTAAATAAATTTGTGTAGCAGACTTGAAAAGGTTTTTGCTTTTGAACGATCCTTGCAGTCCGCAAAAATTATCAGTCATTTTAGTTGTTAGCTTCCTTGGTAGTATTGACTATTTTTAGACTCTGAAAAAAAAAAAATAAAAGAAAAAATTAAAATAGGCAAGTAAGGCAACTATTTTTTTCATTATTTCTATAACTTGTTTAAAATTTACGTTTACTTACGTTTAAACTTTTTTAAAGCTATGAAAGAAAATCGGTATTGTTGAAAAAGGCGCTGAAAACGAATTATTATCAAAATTTTGTTTTACCCAAAATCATTTATATTGATGCTACATACAAAAAAACTGACACATGTGCGACATACAAATCTGAAATTACACGTAAAATATGGAAAGAAATGTTTTATTCTCATATCTGTGCGCCTTCTTTCAGGGTGATGTCGACTCGGAAGTTAACTCTTCTCCACTGGCTTTGGAAAATAACAAAGGCTCTGAGCATATGAACCTTACTGTCTACTTCTAACATACTTGCGCTTCATTTCCATTTCATCAAGTCCTGAAATACTCATCTCGACTTTCATCTTGTCATTGTAAATATAAAGTTGATTTCTGTAATTTTCTCCATCTCATTTGCCTACCAAATCCTGGTTTGTATTAAGATGATTTGTCCTGGTGTTACTTAGGTTGCGATCGAAGTGCTATTTGACGTAACACAGTTTTAAATAAAAAAGTGGGGAACTTTGAGTTTTAAGGCAAATAAAATGATACTTCTGTAAGATTTTGTACGAACACTACGAAAAGAACTTACACACTTTGAAAAATTATCATCTGGATTTGTCTGCTGAGAGGGATCAAATTTAATGTGGCATTGGATCCCTGCGTCCATTGTAATACTTTTTGGGAAACAATTTTTTTTCTTTTTGGGGGGGGGGGGGCATTGATTTAGAGGACTCATGTCCAGAGCCTATAGATCTTCGTTTTTTGGACGTAGAACGTGTCCAGATTTTTTACCTAATTGAAGCAGTACATCCAACCCCAGTTACTTCTGTCAAAACCACACCCCAGGACAATTTTCTTCAAGTATGTGTAAGTAATGTATCTTAGTTTAATATTTTGCATTTGAATCATAATGTAGCAATAGTGTGACCATAATATCTTAGGTGATCATTGAGGAATCTTGGAACCTTAAATCTTGCAAATACTGTGACTTTAAAGGAATTGGATGCCAACTAGTTTATCCAACTCCATCATTCTAAGTAAAAGGAATGGAACATATTTGAAAGAGAACTGCATGAAAAGTAAAAGACTATGTGTGTAATTAAGCATATTAAGTTTCTATTGTGTGCTTGAACATATACTGGTGCTCAAAAGTAGGCTCCGACAACTGTGATAAGACACATTTTCTGTTCCTGCAATCCTTTTCTCTAAAATACTTCCTTGAGGTGAGGAACTCAGGGAAAAATGATAAAGGTTCGTTCAAGTTCATTAATGAAAAAACGAAGGCGTATCACTAAAACACATAATGTTTTATTTTTCAGAGCTGACATTCTGATTAAATCTTTTCTGAGAGGTATTTGAAAAAAATATTTTATTATTTTTACCTGATGAATAAAACTATTTAAGTTACTTACTTTGCCTTAAGAGTCGAAATGAATTAATAAAATGGCTAAGTAAGACAACAAATTTTTTCCTACACAGCATTGCTAATTATATCCGACTGATGGTTATTACATGTGACAATATTTGAGTGGTTAAAAGTAATATAAATCCCTTGAAGACTGCTGATGAGATTGGCAAATAAACTGACTGTGAGTTTCATTTGGAGCATTACAGGAAAACTGCATTTATTGAAACCTATAGTTAAGTATTTTGAATAAATTATAATTTGACTTCATAACTTTTCATACTTAGGTAAATAGAAAAGGAGCCTGCACACTCCTTCTTGGAATTGTACAACGATCGATTTCCAATTTTTTTATTGCATTAAACTTGTCTTTTGATGCTAATCAAAAAACATCACAGCGCCAACTTTCTACAAGGCACCATTTCTGCACAATTCACTATTAATTACGCTATTAATTCGGTAATTATACTTGAATAAGTGAGGCCAGTGCAGCGCTTGAACAAGGAGTTTCCTTGTTTCGTTACCTATCACCCAGCTGGTGATAGGTAAGGAAAAGAGTGAGAGAGAGAAAGAATCTGATTTGAACAGTGAAACGGAAAGGCATGCTGAATCCAAGATAAGACTGCCAGGTTTTTCTTGTTTTCAGCAAAAGCTGAAAGATAGATATTGCCGTGCTGGCTTCACTGATTCAAGTAATTATTGAATTAATGGCGGATTGTGCGGAAATGGTGCTTTGTAGACAGTTGAGGCAATGATGACTTTTGATCACCATCAAAAGATGAGTTTAATCCAATTAAAAAATTGGAAATCAATTGTAGTACAAATCTCTATAAGGAGTGTGCAGAGTCCTTCAAGCCCACAGTTCAAAAAGTATTGTGCTCAAATTTTAGGAACGTTTGAGAGAAGAAAATAAGTGGTTCAGTTGCAATTATAGTGAGTGTATTTTAAATCAAAAATTTTGAAAATGTAAATATAATTTCCTTTACATATAGCTTTGTATAATTATTTGATAAGTCTTTTACTCAGATAAAAAAATCATGTTCTACTTCTTACTTTTTTCATCTTTGTAAATGTGTTGAAAACTTTGTTGCCCTTATGGGAAATAAATGAATTAAAAGATAAGAACTTACTTACTTCTCCTCCTTCTGTCTCTTCTTCTTGGTTTCACAATTCAAGAAAAAATGATTTTGCAGTTAAGTTAAATGTAAAAGAAGAAATTACCCAAAAAAGTTTCAACTGGGTGCGAGGACGGATCATGTTAATTGATAATCAATCAAAGCAATCTTCTACAGTTATCATAAGATTGCTCCAAGAAAATGATGACTTGAAAGGACTACACGCGGAATACCAAGAATTTCAGTGCCACCCAACTTTTTATATTAATTGATACGATGATTCTTAAGGTCTCCTGAGGACAATAAAAAATTCCAACACTTCAACTGGATTGAGCGTTAAAAAATGAATTAAAAAAATGATGCCAAAAAATTCACTTTTCAGCCCTCTTCTTCTTGAGACTGGCACATAGAAAGTTCCATTCTAAAAGCTCAGCTTGCTCAGGAGGTCGTGAGGAACATCATATCAAATCATACCGAAATTTAGCCAGCCCTGAATTTCTGGGTGGGTACGCAATGCCCACGTGTAGTTCTTTGCAATTTCAACTGGTGTGTGGCGCCTGGCGCCATAATCTGTGACCCAATACGCAGATTTTTACAGAGATCTTAAGTGATCACCACGACCTAACTCATATTACAAGATAGTCACTTGAGCTATAAAATACCATCGCAGGTTGACCTCTCTATGAGCGTTTAGTGCAGAGGCTCTCTAGTGATAACTTGTGAGGCAAGCTTGGAACAGACAGCTGAGCTAAGAATTAAAGTAAAGAAAATTAAAATTACCTAAATTTATGCTTGTGGAATAGAGGGCTTCAGAGCTTCACAATTAAAGTATCCAAGGTTATCAATCCTTCATTAATCTGCAAAATTCTTCCCTGAGGAGCTTTGAAAAGATTTGAACTCGGGAACATTTCTCTTCCACACTTATTTATTGCTTCAGGTAAAGTTCATGGCCATGACCTGAAAATTGAAAATTAAGTTAGAGATTGAATTATTGTGAGAATGTATACATCAAGTCTTGTACACTTTAGGTCATAAATGTGTTGAGAATTTGCGACACAGGGCCGTACGAAGCTTTCCATTGCCTAACTTGCCTAACATTGAGCTGTTGAACTAAGTCCAACCTAAAGCACAATTTAGTTTTCACACATCTGTCGTTCCCATTTAAAAATTGACCTACGGAAAAAATGCACAAGACAACCAGTTGAAACAAAAACAAAGCTTAATAATAGCAATGTGCAGTTAGGTACGCACATTGCAAAAATAAATGATAGATGACAATACTCAATAAAAAGCTGCTGTACTGCTTGACAAAGAAGCCATAGAATGAAATTAAACTGAATTTGGGTAAGTGTTTCACTTTCTTTGAAATCACTCCCACAGTCCATTTTTTTTTTGTTCAATAGGTGATTTGAGCCAGCATTGATATTGAAAGTACCTAGCAATTCACCAAAAATTGGCCATAACACCTCAGAAGAGTCAAAAAACCTCATTCTTTGTTTGGAGAGACTCCCAGCAATTTAGTAACGAGAATATTTGATTTTCCAATCCAAAATTTGAAAAATTAACAGGGATATTGAAGATAAAATTTTGGGGAAAAATTGAAATTGCTCTGCTTAGAACTACTCTAAAACTTGCCTGAGGCTTTCGAACCCAAAAAATCTGATTCCTCATTTAAAAGTATCTTTAAGTTGACACCCATGATGACAAATTGTTCTTGCCTAAAAGTTGAGTAAAATACAAACCAAAACATTGAAGAATCAGTGAAAAATGCGGTGACATACCTAGTTTAGGTAGCCGTGGAGCCACTCAAGACCTCGCTTAGTCAATATCTTGTTGAGTCTTGAACATCAATTGGCAAGCATGTTGTTGTTTTTCCCTCAGATTGAAATTTTCTGAAAGTTGATGATACCATTTATGTAAAAAAACACAAAAATCAATATTATTTTTTAAGAGCTTAAAGGAATATTTTCATTTTTAGCTTGTGTGGACAGACCAACAGAATTGCACCAAGTAGCAATTTGAAAAAAAATGAGTTGGAAGTAGTTATGAATTCATTCGGGTAAGTAGTGCTTACTTTCCCCCGTCAAAAATTTATAATCAAGAAAAAATATCTTAAGCATGAAGATACCTAGTTGCTAAACTTTGACCTTGACATTGACTCTTAGAGAGAAATAAAACTTCAAAACCTCTTTTTCTTGGTTCAAACTTGATGTGACTTGGTATGTTTTTGTTCAACTCTCTTTGCAACTTTTTTCATTTACCTTCACTCAAAGGATCCATGCCTAATTAGATACATTGAGTTCTTTTTCTCCCTTCAATTATTCAGTCTAAGCTACTTAAATATAGGAGTTAGCGGAACGAAAAAAATTACCTGAAGTAAATACGAAGATCATCTGTCCCGCTCGAAGTTTCAACATTTCTATTTTCAAGCATGCACGAATGACAATACACAGAGGATAAGATTTGAAGACAGCATTTTGCAAAATAGTTATTAGTAGTATACTGTACTGTCATTTACTTTCAAAGTTTATTTTTTGGGTTTTTTCATGAGCACACTCCTTGGTAAAAATTTGATTGGTGTGACTGCAGGTCGCTTTGAAGCATGTACGTTATTGACATCTTGTTTTGAGAGATGAGAGGCAGAGCTTTGAGATGCTTGAAGTGGAGATGGCAATTGATGTTCAGGTGGCTGAAAGTAACAGCCATCAGAATGCGATTGTTTCAGGGAGATAGGAGCAGTTTTCTTAATTTTCGTGGGAATATAATTTTTCTTTGAATCAAGACTAGCAGAGGACAACCCGGTGCTGCTTCCTGGCTTACAAATCGAATTTGAATGAGAATCTGAGTATGAACCTGGTCGTTTACGAGAGGTAGAAGGCATTGCTGGTATTACTAGAGGAGTCGTTTCAATTGAATTTTTTGAGCTGCTTTCACTTGCTGATCCCTCCAAAAGAGGATATTGTTGATACATGCTGCCAAGATTGCTAGATGGCATTGTCACTTGAGTACTAGATTGAATTTGTGGCATGAATATTGGCAACTCCTGTGAATCAGAGCCAATAGTAATTGAGGGTGGCGGAAAACATAAATGAGCAGCAGCAAGTGAGGAAAGGGAGTTCGAAGCTTTGTGACTTTCCAGTGAACTTTTATCAGCATACCCTGCATTAAATGAGTTGTTCTCGGCAATATGGTGGAGCTCATGATTCTTCACATCTTTCCCAAAAGAAGGCAAATTTCTTGTGCGCTTAGCAATTTCTCGTTTCCGATTGACAAGTTTCAGTTTTGTTTCCTGGATTGTTTCCAATTCTGGAGCATAACATACATGTAAAATACCACCGAAAAATGATTTGGTGTCGATAATTTTCTTGGCAAATCTAGCGGACTGAATTCTTTCAAACTGGACATGATAAACGTTGGTGAATTCTTCTTGCTCCGATGAATATTGGTCCACAAGTTTCACAGATTTGACGCGACCATATCGCTCGCAGAGCATTGAGACTTCCGAGAGAAGTCCAATAGATGGCACCCCATGAATCAGTAGGTGTACGGATTCATCGTTAACGGTGTAAACTTTAACAGCAGTTAATTTCCTACCTTGCCGATAAGGTGGTCTTGTGGTACATAAACTTCTCTGTTCATGATGAGGCAAAAACTTAATTTGGTTACCAGTGTGATCCATCGTTTCACCGATTGCACTAGATACGAATTTTCAACATAAGTGAGACTTGAAGCTGAGAAAATGACTTAAAGGACAGGCGTTAAATAAATAAAGAATAAAATAAATGAATCAAGTCCTCATGGCTCTCTAACACATACACTAACAATAACAATACAATAACCTCAAATTTTTTAAAATTCGTGTTTTGTCTACAGCATGGTTCTCCATGTGGGAGAGTGAAAAAGTTCAATCACTCCCAAGGCATCGTCTCATCTCTCAATAGAGTTTTCATGCATCTGAGATTAAATTTTGTTTTTAAGGGGGATCGGATCGATGTAATTAAAAATTTTTAAGAGGATATAAGGGTGCAAAAACGTATCTGAGGTTCGATTAAACAGCAAAGAGTTTGAGTACACATTATTTATATTTGGTTAGTTCTATTTTATATGCTTAGATTGGTAAAATACAGTGAACTTCCATGTTCCATTCCGTTTCCTTCCATTTCCGTTCCCATTCCATTCCATTTTGTTTTTTATCATTATCTATCACTATCAACCTAGACTCTATATCAACCCTTCTTATCTAATCACAAGTCTCCCTTTTCGATAGAATTTTCTCTCTCACTAGAGCATTATAACTTCCCTTATAAGTTTGTGCGTTTAACGAAGTTAAAGGTCTCCTTTTTTAAATCGACAGTGACTAGTAGCTTGTGCGGCAAGAGTTTCTGTATTTACAAAAAGAAAAGAAAATATAATATTTCATCATCCGGTTCCTTTCTGCCGTTCCGGTTTTGATAATAACCAACGTGATTATCAATCGGTGAAAGATCAAAAGTGCATAATTGGCTAATTGGGCGAGCATATTATTTCTTCACTCTTTCGGTGTCAAATTTGTAATTTTAAACAAATTTCCTAGTGTATGCCAAATTTCTTCTCACATAATGTACACTGTTTCGAAGAATCCTATCAAAATTGTTGCGAAGACAAGGCGAGGTGAGAGACCTACACCATGTACTTTACATAAACCAATCCTGTTTTCATATCCAACATCATAAGATTTATTGCTGCCAATCAATTTAAAAATCAATTTCAAGACTGATTCTGCAGCTAATCTTCAATTTGATCATCATTATTCAAGTTACTTTCAAGGTTCGGGCACTACTATCCTATTCCGGACATGTGTCAATTGGTTCCAATGAAGTCATTACATAAACTTGAAGAAACACGTCCAATATTGGAAGCGAATAAAGTATTCATTTGTAACAGAATGTTCCATTTTGTCAATTTAGTATTGTTAACTTTACAGGTGTGCTGAGCCGTAATTAGTGTGTTACGTAATGGTCAGTTTAGGCTAGTAGTCTTCTTGACCGCAATACCATCCCTCTAGCACATTTTGTCAGATGCCGTATTAGGTACCAGTATATTTGGCACAACAAGTATCATATAATATGATGTTCAAAGTTTAGAGTGCACTACAAGAGCATGATTTGACTCCCTCATGTCTATATACTCCATCTATAATTGCTTTTGCTCAGCACACATGGCTTGAAACTTCAATTTAACCTTATGAACTACCGAACACAAGGAATTAAATCTTAAAATACACAGGTCCGGTGGTTTTTTCAGTGTCATACTTTTATTTCAAATTTGCGGCTGAAGTATGCACAGGCAAACTCTACCTAAACAGTGCTTATGTAGGGGTCAAAAGTCAAATGCACTTTGGTTAGATGTCAGTAACAAGGTACAGCTTGATCTTGGCATTATAAAACCATCTAACTGAATACTATTGAATTGAACGACATATAATTTGGATAATGGAAAGAGTGGTAGTTCTGTCTTTCCTGTTCCTGAAATAATGTTGTACTTACCCATTTTCTTGTAGCTTGCAAGTTCCCTGAATTCTAGAGAAAGATTATGTTGGCTTTTAACAATGACTATTCACAAGACTTTTAAATAATTTATAGATTTTATCTTAATGATATTACATTGTGTCAAGTGAACTTCTGTTTTGAAAATGTTTCAGGTATGATGCAGAATCTTGATAGGCTAGATTCACTGAGGGACAGTTCGAAGAAATCACACGATAACGACAATGGAGAAATAATCAGGTAAGCTGAGATTTTTGTATCACGGCAAGGCAAAACTAACTAGCAAATATGTTCTGTTTATGTCTAGTATTTTTTTCCTCCATTGTTTATAATAGTTGCAGCATTTCAGGCAATGTAGGATTATCCTAAAGATTGGCATAAATGGCGATATTGCCATAATTTAGAGGACAAGTCATCTCCTTTGCAGAAGAAAGACTTTAATGATTATTCTTCATGTGAAATACATACGACTCAATGTCAATTCGGATAAAAATTCATAGTTCACTTTCTGAGTTATCATAATTATCACCTAATACTGTTTGATAATGTAACACATTAATCTAACACTAGTAGCGAGTAGCCCTACATCAAAATTACCAGTTCAGTAACCAATAAATTGACTGCAGTTTATATAGTTTATCTCATGCTATCATGGTGATGCTCATATGGAGGAAATTTTTTGTTCCAGCGAGCCCAAACCAGTATTTCAGCAAAGCAGCTCGAAGAAACCTACCTGCTTACGAGCGCAGCAAGCTCCAATTAGCCCACAGCATGAAGAATTAATTAAATTCATCTATGAATGTGAGTTGATATCAAAGCAACGTGCTATTACTTATTTTTAGGAAGTTTGCAGAGCATTTCATCCATTCATATCATGTCAGTTCTTGAAACTTCATGTCATTGAGGGAATAATTTTAACCACAATGGAAGCTTAAATGAAGTTGTCGCAAGAAAGTGCAAGCAACAAAAAACTGAATGGAGGTGATACCCAGGGTTTCATTTTAATTTGGTCTATCCTGTTGGATGCAATTTGCCTCTCTAGTAAAAAATCAAACTAAATGGGGTACTCATGTGCTAAGCAGATCGAAATTGGAGAGATCAATGTAATTAATATTTAGTGTAATCTTTGTTTCACAAGTAGAAAATGCTTCCTCTTTTCAAAGCAAGAGCAAAAAGAACATATTGAACATAAATTGGATGCCTTTAAATGAAGATAAAGGCGTATATTTTTTAAACTTGAAATCATTCTAAGCCCCTAATCTTCTGGGGGGAGGGAGGGAGGGAGGGGGGGGGGTTGTTAAAAATTATATGAAGTTGTCAAAGACAGCATTTTTATTTAAGTCTAGATCCTTAATCATGTCCTGTCTAGAACTTTCCTGTATCTTTCTATAGGAACCAAGTCATCTGTTTTCTCTTTTTTTCTAAAAAGTTCTTTCTATGCTTTCAGCTTGGAATTCAATCTGTAAAGAATGTAACACTAGCTCAGAAGAATCATCGGACAGTAAGTTTTCCATTAATCTTTTTCTGGGATAGCAACATTTAAAGCCTCCCCACTGTAATTTTAGTCATTTTTAGTGAGTTCAGCCCATTAAAATCCAGTTTACAAGAGCCGTGTAAAATCAAAGATGCATACTGCAAGCATCTATAGTGTGAACCATCTCATCATTTTGATTGGAGTTCTTGATTACCACTTAAAGCTCTTATCATAATTGTATTTACTAAGGAGAGTATAGATTTACAAAGACCCAGTTAAAAAGGAAGAAACCAAAACAGAAGTTTGCTGTGTGACCTAAATGTTGGATTCTTAACAGGGAGAACGTAACAAGAGCTGTAGTTTGTTCATCCCAGGCAGCAGCCTTGGAATTATCAACATGTTTTAAGTGACCAATGAGCAACCATGTAGATGCTTTGGCTTCAAATTGAGCACTCAACTTTTGTTATTTTTTTCTACCTTTTTGCCAGGGCCCTAAACTTTTCACCTTTGTAGTTTACTGCCTAATTGCAAGTGGTGATGTGTAAGTAGTGGTGCTGCTGATCCCTAAACTTGAAAACATTTTATACCAATTCAGTGACAAGATTCACTGATTCTTTGGGGAAAATCTTTTATTTAGGTTTGGGAGACTTAGCCTTGCACCAATTTTTAATGAAAAACCTGATTACTGTTATTAATTTCTCTACATTTTTGTAATTTACCCTCTCTGCTTTAAGAATATTGATGGTAGTTATGTGATAACATTTCTGTGCTTTCCGTCCTAAATTTCTAATGAAGAATAAAAATGATGATTGGCAATTTAAACTACTTTACCAGTCTACCTGTGGGTTCTTTTATTTTATGACAAAAAGTGTGTTCAATTTTTTTTTTTTTTTTTTTTTTTTTTTTTTTTTTTTTTTTTTTTTTTTTTTTGCAGATACTCAGTCGATATGTTACTACGATGATGGAGAACCAAACCCTAGTTTACAAGGTAAAGTCAAGCCTCTTAATTTTTCTCTTTTAAATAGGAATAATAAAATTTTAAAAAAGTAGCAAAGACCAGACTTAATTTAGCTCTGTTAAGCGGCTCAGATAAATGCTTGAAGATTAAGGCATGCTGTTGTAGACTCCTCATTCTCCTGTTGTGGCAGTGAGGTGACGGAGAGTGCATGGAAGAGTTCATTTCTAGCACAGTATTATTTGATTGCTCGCGTTATCGACCTTGCAGCTATATTGTCATGATGCATTTCCTTTACATTGTCAAAGAGCTAGCATGAGAGCCCAGAAACCTTTTCTCACAATTGGCGAAATGACTCATGACTCTATGAACAGCTCCTAACTCCTAACCTATTAATATTCCTCATCAGGTACCTGATGTACCTAAATCTTTCTTGAATAAAACTGCTATAACATCTTTAAATATCAGGACATACATGAGCAAGAGTCTGCACTACAGAAAGTAGCAGGCAAGGGGCAGAGTCAGTGACTGACTTCAGGTTTTGTTTAAGAAATTAAGTTCGCAAATGAGTGTTTTATTTCTAAAGGAGAATTTTCATCAATCTTTTTTATAAATCTAATATTTGCTGAATTTTTTGCTTCGTTTAAAATAGTAAATTAGAGATTTTTCATAATTTCATCGCAAAGCCTTTGCCAAAGATACTTTTTCTCATGTCCAAAGTATGATTGTCTAATTTTGTGTTTGGTTTCAGACTTCAAACCCATTGATCTTGAGCTGTGGTGGGGAAAGCAGCTTTTCAACACACTCATGAATTCCTCGTAGTTTTCCATTTGTATCTGCCTAGCTAGTTAACAGATCGCTGTATTTTTTTATTAGAAATTTAAAAGTGAATTTTGGAATTTTTTAGTTTCAAAAAAGAAAAAGGAAAAGAAACAGAGTGCCTGAATGTGCTCCTCAAATTATCTTCTCCTTCTTTTTATCCATGAATTGAATGGATTTTTCTGTGTCTTTTTCCCCCTTTTTTCATTGTTATTTAAACTGAAACAGTTTGTTAGTTTTTGTGATAGTGCATTGTTTAGTTTATATTAAACAGGTTTTGTAAATAGGTAAATTTAGACCTAGGGTTAGAAAATAATGGGCAACTGTCACATCAGAAAATGGCAGCATTCTACATGAATTCATGTTGTAATAAATGGGCCAACTGATGATTGATGCACTCAGGTTGATGTGAAATTTGTCCATTATTTTCTTTCCTCAGTTCTAGCCTAATGTTACTCGGTGCAAATGATTCTAGGAGCAAAAAAAGCTTAGCGTACTCTAAATTTTTTTTTTTTAAAAAAAAAAAGAATCACAGTAAATCAAAATTAACTCAAATTAAATATCAAAATAGTGATGCTTTCACTATTTTCCCCCGGCCAAGGCTATTTTGTCTTTTTACCAAAAATTACATTGTAAATGGTAGTGCATTAGTAGAGTTTAGTTTTTAGTTGATCTTTTACTTTCAGCCGTAGAGCTTGTTTTGTTTTTATTTGATTTTTTTCCTCCTATTGAAGCAGGAATTATTTTTTTAAATATATCAGGTAGTAAGAATATTAAGGTTGTTTAGTGTGTGAAGGGAGTGGTTGGAGGAAAAATATCCGAGATTACATATATACAAATCAGTTTGCAGAGTGACAGCGGTTACCCTTTTGTCCTGTAAACTATGAATGTAATATTCTAAAATTCAATCTATGTTTGCCATTGAAGTTTGGTTCAGGATTGAGTTTATGACTTGAATCTAATAATGCAAACATAGCTCAAAACATTAACTTTAGAGGCTGTGCATGGATAACATAATGCATTTTGGAAGAGAAGAGGTTCAAAAACTTTATCTTGAGTTCACTAGAAGGAAGGAGGTTATACTTGACTCGGAATCCAAATTTAAAAGATAGTGTAATTTTTGGGGAGCTAAAAGTTACCGGTAAAATGTCATCTAATATCTGATTATATTGGAGGACCCCTTATCTTATGAGGTGCATGTCTGTTAAAATCTTATGTAATGCTGCTGAGATTTCAACCCTTCATATACATACATATTTCATCTCTAATAACACAAATTTCTCATCCGGCTATTTTCTTTGTCATCTTGTTTAAACAGGTTTCTCAAAAGGTATCTTTTGTGAAATTGGTAATTACTCCATTTTTCTTTTTTTTCGTCATTTGTTTTACCAATTTTTTTCATTTAGCAGAGAACCATGAAGAGAGAACATATGTTTACAGCCTCTTTTTACTGCGGTATGAGACTAAAATCGATTAATCTACTGTTTATCCCAAAATCACCCCAGCGGTTGCCCTACTTCCTCTCTTGTCCTCCTTCACAATACAAATGAAGGTGAGAATATTTGACAAGTTAGTACTTGGAAAATGTGTTTGCTTTAAACAAGCTTTGCATGTGAGTGGGCAAAGATACAATTGGGACCTCAAGACAAAGATATTCTTACATATGATTGATAGAATCAATTGATAAGATACTCAAATTCACCTCTAGGAATATCAGTATGTGTATGGCTCCTAAAAAATGCCCCCTGTTATAATTAAGTCATAATGTCATACATTTCCCTTGTCTTTACTTAGCTAAATATTCTCTAAAAGTTTTCAGTCTTTGTTTTTGACATTCTTATTTCCATAAAATGAATTCTTCCTATAAAGGACTCCAAGATGATTGCATTCTTTCTTTACGTTCATGTGAATTTCATGTATCAACAGTTTCGCTGGCGTGACCCTCAAATGTGTTATCTTAGTGGCTAAAAGATTATTTTTCAGTTTTATAAAGGGTTTTCATGTAAGTGCCAATAATAGTTTTTTTTTAATAAAATATATTTGTAATAGAATAAAACCAATTACTTTTTTTGGTTACAAAATTAATTGCTGTTTTTTATCGTGCCATCTCGCACAGTTTCTCGGTTGCAGCAAAAGCATTTCGCAGGAGAGTAATTTTCTTTAATGTTTTGTGTCAGTAAACTTTTAATGCACAATAATGTTCAAAGGATATTTGTCCTTTTAAATTTTCTTTTATTGACGGAAAAATGTGTATAAAGCAGGAACTTCCATCAGCTGAAAGAGATTTTTGAAGAAAATTGGGAAGGAACTGATTTGAGAATTACAAGTAAAGATGAAGGACAGTATAAATTATAATCAAAAGAGTGATTGGTAGATTTTAAATGTATGAAGGGAGGAGGGGGGGGGATAAATAATTTGGAACTAAATTGACAGCTTTAAAATGAAAGAATAGAATTGAATCCAGTTTTCCAAAATGTTCTTTTTTGTGTAACTACATCTTTACTCGCTTCCAGGCACTTCATCATGACCATGTTTTTTTTTTTTATATTCATCACTGAACGTTATTTTTTCACAAGTATCTTACCCTATGATCTTCATATGATCCATCTCATTAGTTTAGTCTAGAGATTTTGTTCATTTTAGTATTTAAGTTGAATGTTTTGTTGGAAAGACGTTTTCAGAAATTCAAATGACTTTTGCGACGGTGTAACATTTTATTTAGTCTGACTTCTGTAATTTGTTTTTCCTTTTTTCCAGTTATGTTACTCTCTTAATTAATTTTTTACTGAATTTTATTTTGTGGGGATTCTAATCAGAGTTTTAAGATCATTCTTGTAACAATCTTTTTGTTACCTCAATAACGGTGCTACTGCACCATCGATGTACCTGTTAATTTTAAAACTTATGTTTTTTGCGTGGCTTACTTTGTTTTTATGCTTGTTTCTTCCTTTTTTTAATCTTTAAACAGAGTTTATTCCCATATTCTCTCAGTCTTTTATATTAAAACATAAAGAATATACCAAAAACTTGCTAAGAAAGTTGCAACTATGTTGGTTTTATAATTTCCCACTATTTGAAGACTGGCCATTCATGCCATATCCATAGGGCTGAGCAATCATTGTCTTTCGTCTAGTGTCCTCTTTAGTTTCTCCTATGCTGACCAAGCAGAGAATGTTTTTTCGTTCCCGCCATACCATTGTCTTAAATCCTCCTTAAGCCCAGCAAAAAAGTCTTGAATCCCTTGCGTAAACTCTACGATCAGCGATCTATTTTTTCGAGAAATTGTTGAAACCTGTTTGAATTGAGGTATTTTTACAACTCTGTATCAAACCCTTCAGTGTACAATCAGGTAGGTAGGCAATTTAACCATTAGGTAAATCAAACACTTGAAGGCTTCCATTTACTAGGAAGGTGATTCCTAAGTCCAGCACCAGGCATCATTTTTGTAACCTTCCAACAAATCGAGATAGACTCAAAATTTTGTGAGTGCTTCTAGGTCAAAGAAAATGACTCATGCGATCTCTGAAAATTTTAGAAGGACCACCCTAAAAAATTTCAAGGACCTTGGGGTCACAGGGGTGCTGTATGACTTTTTAATCACCCTGTATGTACAATGACTGTGTCATTCTCTCAGCTGAAAAATTTTGTTGACAGTTTTGATTTCAAGCTCATGAATTTTGTAAACCGTGTCTTGAGAAGACCTTTTGTTGCAGTGTATTTCATTTACTATTTTATTGTCAATTAAGTTTCATAGAGAAGCATGTTTAATAAATTTAGTTATTTCATGATGTAATTTCCTCTACGTTTCAATGATGAAAATAGGAAACCATGTATCTTAATTGCAGTGGGGTGGGTAGAAGTAGGTAACCAAATTAACCGTTTTTTTCTAAATTTTCGAAAAGACATTATCCAATTATTTTGGACGAAATTTTTTAGATTTTACCCTTAAAAATATAGGGTCAGGGTCTACTTTCAAGAATAACGTCCAAAAAGCATGCATGATCTTTTGTAATTCGACAAACGGAGATAGCTGTTTTTCTAGTTTTATGATTGATGTGTACATTTTTTTTTTGGTTGTAAGTAAAACTAGACATAGCCTGTTCCTTTTTTTTTGGCTCAGCTGTTATAAGTTCCTTTGTTATCTAATATAGTGAATTACAACCATTTTCACCTCAGAACAGTCAAGATTTGTCCAGTCTTGTCCAGGCCTACCTTCGTTGAACAGAACCCTCTTTTTCAGAATTTGTGTCTTTTTCAATCAAGATTGTTCAAGTATGATTTTTTTCTATAATGAGTTAGGGACAATTATGGATGTGCTTTTTTTCATAATTCCATGAATTTCTGTTAAAACATATTGAGAGACGGATAAGTTAAAACTACGGTAGTTTTGAAGGAGCCTCAAAAATTAAGCAATGCTCTTTGCCTTGAGTCCAGTTGAGAAAATGGCCTCCACATATTTTATTTGCCGTTACCTGAACATGTAATGTTGTTTTTTTGGTTTTTTAAACAATCTTAATGAGAAAATTAAATATATTGAAGTCAAACGACCAAAAAATGAGAAAATCGTCTGTTTTTCACTTTAATCTTTTGTTTAATTATCCTCTGTAATTTTTATCATTTATCTTAAATTGTTTGAGTTTATTGTATATCACCTTTTAACTAACTTTGTAACTTCCACCGAACAAGTTAGGTACTTGCATTTGCTTGAAACCGTAAAGAATGTTTTTGAAATCAACATGGAGAGCAAGTCATTCTGAGGAAATTGGAAGGCACTCCTGAAAAATTCATGATGAAGTGTCAATGGTGGTCATTACTGTATATGCATTGCGTTACAATGACTCAGAATTTTCTGCTTTCATAAATTTTTCTTTTCTTCTAAAAAGAAACCAAAATCTTAAATTTCATTAAACTTCCAATTAGCCTCTCATTTTTGCAGATGAAATGTATGTGACTGTTTTCAGGAAAAGGTACTTAGTGCCAGAATATTAAATATTGAGTTATTGTTTTCCAACCTTTTTGGGATTGAGGCAAGCAATGAGCATGTTTAGATCTTTTAAAAAATTGGCTCTGCAGAGTTATAACTTGACATTTATCTTTTTAATTTAAAAATTGATAATTTGATTCAGTTGTAAAATCTCATGTCAGGATACATAGAGAGGTCTTCATCTAAAATTTGATTACCAATTTTGATGAAACTTCACAAAAATATGCCCCCAAGAGGTGTCTTTTACCATGAGTGACCGTCTAATGAGAAAATCCAAGAACAGTATTTTGTTCCTAATTCAGGTTTTCAAAGTCAAGAAGAATTTTTAAATTTAAGCTGAGCAATCCAAGCATGTATTTGTTTCCTACTTAAGCATTCAACTTAGAATAGTGCGATAGAGACTGAGAGAGTGCGAGAAAGCAAAATTAGGGTGGTGTTGTCAGTTTTCAGATAAAATTTCCTTACCTTTTTTACCCTGTATCATTACACACTTGTTTTCTAAGGAACATAATTTTGACCAACAGTTAAAATTGATTTTTAAATTTTGATTTGTTGGTTAAAACACTCAGCTAAATACCACGGCATCAGCCTATCTAAATTGTCCGAAAAAAAAAATACAATAGAAACTGTGAATTCTTGAAGTATTTATAATATTTATTTAGCTGTGAATGTTTTACGTATTTTTACGCTAACCATTTTTTGCCCCTTTTCAAATTTAAAATGACAATTTTTCTCTCCAACCAAGTTGTTAAAGCTTTAATTTGGTTTGTTGTACCCTTTTAATCACTGCATAATACACTTTTTCATCCCATCAATTTCTTGTTTGTTTTTAACACCTAACTTGAGTCTCTTTTTTGTAGGTATCTCCGTGTTAATGGAGAAAACAGTTTCATGACTTCCTATTAAAATTTTGCCCTTACATATAGAAGTGCACTTAAATAGACTTTTCAAACTAAACTTGAAAATTGTATTTCTGTACATCGCACCTTGTCTTCTGAATATCAGTGCTGAAAAAAAAGTCAGGGAAGCCTTGAAAAAATGAAGCCGAGTCAATTTCCATTAGGAAATTAAGTAGACAGGAAGTCTGCAATGTCGCAAACAGAGGTATCTATGCATTCCCGCAGTTTCACAGCTGATGTGTAATTCTGGTTTTTCATATTACTTATGTAAGGCTTGGGTTTGCATGGTTAAACTTTTCGCTGTGGTTTGACAAACTAATTTTGCAATAGTTTGAAAAGGGCTAGGCTGTTTGGACTCACAATCAGCCCAATCTGCCCATTACTTAATATTAGGTGCGATCATGTGCCGGAAGGAGGGTGAATGGGAGTGCTCTCTTAATGGAAGATTCAATGAATTTTTTATTTATTTCTTTATTTATTAATTCATCAAAATATATTTTTATGAATTACACAGAAAGAAAAATTTAAAAAAAAAACAAAAAAAAAACAAATAAAAAACCGGAGGCAAACCCCCCAAAAGCACCTGCTCGTAAGGGGGCTCCCCTTATACCCCCTCCTGAATTGATTTGTCTCTGTGAATAAGACATTGTAACAAACTTCAAAATGCTTTTATTAATAAAGTTTGACCTTGAATGTCTTATCTATTTTGAACTACTTATGAAAACAAGAGAATTCAAAATAGCCGAATCAAACGCACCACAAAAACACGTCCAGTGGAAATATGGCTAAAATTGAAATTTAAAAAACTAAATCGAGACGTTTCACCCAACCTCTCGGGTACTTATTGGTCACCTCACGTACCTAGTAGCGAGACTCGTCTTTTGAATCATGTCTTGAAAATGTCTCGTTTCATTTGAAAATAATTTTCATGATGAATTCATTAAGTTGATTTTAATTTACTGGGCTTTTTGAAGAATTTTTTAAGTATGAAATGTCTTGTTTTTGCACTCATTTCTTGCCTCGGTGCCTTAAACAAGCGCTTGATAGTCTGCAAAAATTCGTTCTTACAGTAAGATCAACAATGCGCATGCAGTGCGGAGCGTAAGCATAATCTCCGTCGATTTGAAATTTCGCGGCATAAAAGATGCGGTCGGTGAGAGAGATGAGATCCAGGATTTCATCGATCACCATTCTTAACCTCTCCCGCGTCCATTTCCTTCATGTTGTGAACACGTCGGCTGTGAAGGAGGCGCACCGCCGCAATATTCGAAGATGAAGGTAAATATTCACTTTTTATCCCAATTTCTCAATATTTTCTCTTCTGATTTATCTTTAAAGTCATGCAGCTCATGTTTAATATTCACGGATTGAAGGATTGCCATTTCTCAAATGGATAAATTTATGGCCTCATGAGCCCACCCTATCATGGCGATCTCGTATGCCTTTTTCATGCCAAAGGTTTCCAGCTTTCCTTCCTCATTGGATGTGGGCTTGATGTTTCAGATTATTTCTCTAAAAAATTCTCAATCCACGCGCAGGGCTCAGCCACTGAAACAACCCCGTCCATTTAGTTCTTATCTTTGTCCCACTGCTGCTTCCCACTTTTTCTGTCACTTCTGAACTCCTGGACTTACTGAAGTACTACTTATATTGTAATTCTGTGAAGAACTGAGTGTTCCAGTCCGTAGACCTGATCTGATCACCAATTAACAAGTGGCGACATTGTTATGCTAGTTTCATGTGAAGTCGAACACAATTCTATGTAACTATTGTCGCCTTACAAATCTGAAGCAGGTCCTGGCTCTTTCTCACTCAATTTTGACAGCTTTCTTAGATTGCTGATTCTACTCATCACTTTTGTTAATTTATTGACTGTTTCTCTTTTCAGTTGAACGTGAGCTATCCCGCCACGGGATGCCAGAAATTATTTGAAATTGTCGATGACCACAAGCTTCGAATCTTCTATGAGAGGCGAATGGCTCAGGAAGTCCCGATGGACACCGTCGGTGACGAATGGAAAGGCTATGTCGCCCGCATCACTGGAGGAAACGACAAACAGGGTTTCCCCATGAAGCAGGGTATCCTTACCAATGGTGAGTACTTGCTTCCAATTTTCATTTTCATCCTGTTTCTTCCGCAATAGTGCTGAAAAGAAACTTGACCAAGGAATGTATGAGTTTCAATGTCAGGAATTATGTTGTTTAGTGCCCTTTAAAAACCAGCCTATTTGGCAGGGAAAATACAGTTCATCAGAGAGATCTTTCAGGTCTGTCGATGAGCAAGGTTGCAGTTATTAAGTATGTCCCCATCATGGCCCTGCCTAGTGATGAGGGACCCTCCATTGCTATCCAGGCAATGATGGATGTTTGTACTTCAGGGGATCGAACACTCAACTGTGTGTATTTATGCTGCAAGGAGCTATATGCAAGTGGAAAGATGGGGTGTGCTCGTGCAAGCTGCACGAGAAAGAATGTAAAAGTGGATGTAGTTCCTTTTGAGAAAATGGTAAAGCAGGATTTTGCATTAAATCAAAAGGAACCCAGCGCCAACTCATGAGCCGTGGGCATGTGACAAGAGCCTTGTGGACAGAGCTAATTAGTTAAAATAGTCCTGCTACCGATCTCCCCATCGTGTCCGGACTTAGTCGTTGCCCCTGACATCATTGGCGCCTTTAAATTTCCATTCATTCCTATGGTCTTCAGCTAAGGAACACATCCCATCTCTCCACTTGTTCCATTTAGCATATATACGTACAACTTTTGATTCACCTTCTTGATGGACGTTAACTAACGAGTTAGATATTTCATTTTGGGAACATAGCGGAGTTTTGCTCAGTGCACTGCCTGCAGCCCATCATCCTCTCAGTAGGTAGGCCATCAGCCGAATAAAGATTAGCGACTGTTGCTCTCTCATAATTATCCGTAAGGTAGTGTCGAATCCCGGAAAGTGAAAGTTTCCACCTGTTGCAAAGATGCCAGTGGGGGATCTCCTGTCTCTGGTTTTGCCAGATCTATAGAGGGATCACTACCACCTGTTCTAAATTGCTACGGGTAAGGTCATTCAGTGAACTTACCTGAAGGTTAGCAGGATACAAGGCAAGAGATCAAAAACCTCAACCCATTTTCAGCCATTTAACCCTTAAATCTCATCTGAAAATAAAGGATACATCAGTATGGGTAGTGGTGCAATATGCTCTAAAGATTTTAATTGTATCCTATTTGCATTCCTGCATTGCCTTGTTGGACCATCAATAAGTTAACCTTTTCTGTTTTTAGGTCGTGTCAGACTATTGATGAAGAAAGGTCACTCATGCTATAGGCCTCGTCGTGATGGTGAACGTAAACGTAAATCTGTCCGTGGATGTATCGTTGATGCTAACCTCAGCGTCTTGGCCCTGAAGATAGTCAAAAAAGGAGCTGAGGTAAGTACTGAAAAAATTTAGTAGAACATTATTTTAGTCCTACTTGAATTAATCATACAGCTTGTTTGGAGGAAGCAGGTGTGAAAAAACTACCTGCAGCCCGGTTGTTGAAATTTATGGTATGACATGAATCGAAAATCGATTTATTGCACGGAGCAGATAGGGCTATGCCCTGTCTTATTTTGCCGACAAAGCCAGCTAAAGTTTCAACAAGCCGGCTGCTGACCACACCTCTGTCTGGGTCCTATAAATTGAGAGAACCCATGAGAAAATTGGTGTAGTTGTAAAAACCCTGTTGGATTTTTCAGAAACTTGTGGTTTGGTAGCAGAACAGTTCATTTAAGGGGCAAATAAGTTTTTCTAATTTCTAGTCTTTTGGGGAAGCTTTAATGAAATTAGTTTCTATTCATACAGAGGAAAGTTTGCAACTTGCAGCACCAATGCCAAATTAGCCTTTTATCTGCATTGTATTCGTTTTTGAAGAAAACTAGCTGGAAGTCTAGCTTAATTTAAGCTGTCTCACATGTTCATACTTTCTGGAGTCAGGATTCAGGAGGCCTCTGCTTCTCAGTTTACGACTTGACTCATGATAAATGCACTTCTGCTTAGTAGTCCCAATTTGATAATTTTGGAGGGAGGGGCTTTTTAGATTTACAGCCATTTTTACGCAAGCAGGGAGTGATGATTCCCCTATCATTATCACCTACCAAAAACTCCGCAGGCTTTTTATGTCCAATAAATATCCTTGATCCATTGAATTGAGTTAGCACGTGTCCTAACGCACAGATAATTATGCCTTAATCCATCTAATAATCTGTCACACATAACTCTGTTACCTGTCAGGAAATCTACTTTTGGCAACACGGTTTTTCAGGTTCAGGAATTCATCCCCATTCTGCATTGACCAATTGGACCACGTTAAGTAAAAAGGACCCAAGCCATATCAGCTGTTGACAAAAATTGGGCTTTTTAATTTTTTACATGTGAACGGTTGTGTGGATTTTAGAGCAGTATTCAGTGAATTCTTTGCACAGCATGAAGCAAATTCCTTAAAATTTTCAAAGGAATTTGCACAAATGTCCTCTTGTAAAAATAAATTGCCCAGGTAGATTTGGCTCGGTTCATTATATTAAACGCAGTCAAATTATTCCCTTTTTCTTGCCCGATGCCTAATTTTCTCAATTGTCAACATCCTCTGTTTGAAAGCAGTGCCTCCTATAATAGTTGATTTTTATTTTCAGGACATTCCTGGCCTCACCGACATCTCTATTCCTCGCCGGTTAGGACCAAAGCGTGCTTCTAAAATCCGTAAGCTTTTCAATCTAACTAAAGAAGATGATGTCAGAAGCTTTGTCATCAAAAGACCCCTGCCGGTTAAAGAAGGAAAGAAGCCAAGGACGAAGTCCCCTAAAATCCAACGGCTAATCACTCCCGAAAGACTACAGGTAAAAACCAGTATAAAATTTCCACAAATCGCTTACTTAAATCCTAAGTCATAATTCTGGTTCGTGAGAGATACGAACAGTTGTTCCGAACTTGAAAGTCTAGTCAAAGAAGGCAAGCAGGGCTGATTGTGACAATACACAAAATGTAAGAGTCATTTTTTTTTATTATTGTTATGTGCCAACAGAGGAAGAAAAACATTCCAGAAACAATTTTTTCTGTCCTGCAATATTCTGTTCTGTTTACACCTTGTCTGGTAGCTTAGTCACGTTTAGACCTGTATCCACTGAAGTAACAGTGGAATATCTATGTATAAAAATGCTGGATCCAATGGTGATACCTTAATATTTCAGACCCAATTTTCTGGACCCTTGGAAATTGCTTGTTGAAGTGTGTAATACAGAGAAGGTTGCAGAGAATGTCATATTAGAAAACATCTGAATATTGTTAGAACTGACTCTTTTTGTGATTCGAGCAATATAGAAAATNAAGACATAATGTGAAATATTTTTCGACAAAATTTATTTGCTCCAACATCAAACTCACTCTAGAGAGCAAATAGAAACTTAACAATTTATCTGACACTTGATGTTACTTCATGATATTTGCAGGTTTTCCCCGAATGTGGCAGACCTGACCTAAGTATCTCGGATAAGAAAATGAATATTGGATCAAACTACACATCCTGAAGTTCATTTGAGGTACATAATTGTATCTCGCATTCCACTGTTGCTGTGACTAAACCTGCGGGGCGATTATTGAAATGATATCGACTGTATGTCAGCGCTTTGTCGTGTCGCGCCATCGACTAAGCAATGGCTTAGTCGATGGCACGACACGACAAAGCGCTGACATACAGTCGATATCATTTCAATAATCGCCCCGCAGGTTTAGTCACAGCAACAGTGGAATGCGAGATACAATTATGTACCTCAAATGAACTTCAGGATGTGTAGTTTGATCCAATATTCATTTTCTTATCCGAGATACTTAGGTCAGGTCTGCCACATTCGGGGAAAACCTGCAAATATCATGAAGTAACATCAAGTGTCAGATAAATTGTTAAGTTTCTATTTGCTCTCTAGAGTGAGTTTGATGTTGGAGCAAATAAATTTTGTCGAAAAATATTTCACATTATGTCTTTTTAACCATCTGGCACATCTTCAATGGACCACTAGACAAGGTACGAATTTCAGCATTCTGATACATGTTTCTCAACCGAAATTTCACATAAAAAACGATTCGGACAACAAAAATTACCGAAATCAACCCCCTACAAAGATATTTAATGATTCCTAATGCTTGAATTTAAACCACCCGCTCATTAAAATTCAATGCTCTACGTGGTTCACATCGCGCGCTAAACATTATTATGACAGTCTCTGCAATATAAAAATCTGGCAACTTCAGTCTTGACGCTTTGGCTCAGCTGTAGCAAATTGCTTATAGTTTGAACAACACATGGTGAGAAATGAACATTGCTCGATAGAGAAGCTTGCTGAAACCATTGTAGTGTGCGATTTGACTCACATAGAGCTTTAATTTTCTTGTGAACGGGCAGTTCAAATTCCTCGTAACCAATGTGAAATAAAAACGTTAATATCTTCGTTCGGAGTTGGTTTCAGTAATTTTTGTTGTGCGAATCGTGTTTTACACAAAATTCTGGTAAAGAAACTTGTATCAGATTGCTTAAATTCGTACCTTGTCTAGTGGTCCATTGTCAGGTAAGTAAATGTCAGAAGAGAATCATGTTTTAAATTCTGTGGCAGTACTTACTGGTGTCTTTAACATAGCCGTCTTCCCATCATTCATTCTTTCTCTTCTCCTTGTTTTCAGCGCAAACGTAGATTAATGGCCCTGAAGACCAGGCAGATCAAGAAGATCAAAGAGCAGAAGAAGGCATACCTTAGAATAGTAGGAAAACGTGCCCGTGACGCAGCTAAAAAGAAGAAGTTGGAAAAGAAGCGAAAGAGGTTGCTCAGCGAGTCCTCAACGACATCATCAAAAGCCTCCAAAAAGAAGAAGAAGAAGTAGACTGTTTTGTACATTTTTACACCTTGATAAAAATAAAATTTTTGTTTATTTTTAATCGGATCTCAGTTTTCTCTTTCTGCCGGATAATTAGTCCCACCTACGCATTAGATCAAAACCCAATTGAACCAGCAATTCATTTTTGAAGCGAAATAACTTGCAAGACTTAAAACTTTTTGCGACTGTATTTTAGAGAAGTTCATTTTGTAGCCCACCCGAGTTGTCTTCAATTGAAACTTGATTGTCTTGTCAAGTGTATCATTTTTAGACTACTTATGAAATTTACTCTTTAAGCGATAAATTCCTGATGAATAGGATGTTAAGTTCTGCTTCACCAAGGAGATTAATCTAGCAAGGGGTGCTAGAACAATGTCTCAATAATTCAACAAATTCAATCAGAAAGGGTTCTGGAAGAAAGGCTCCAGAAACAAGGGCGGTTTCGTTTTTCTGATCTGCCTTATCTGGATTAGCAGGTAGCAATGGTCTTACGTATGTTGTATGTTATTGTGCGTGTAGAAAACTGTTGCTTGGAGAAACAACCACACTTGAGGCCTTATCGTAGTCTCGTCTTCCATAACCTTCCTCCGATCATTAGCTTTCTCAAGAGAGAATGTAACTACTTTTCTTGTCGCCAAAATTAACCATTATAAATTGCATTTTTACTATGAGAATCTCCGGCATCTTCAACTAAAAATTGCACTGATTTTTTTTTGATCTCTTGCAAGAATCAGAATAATTTTGTATCTTAATTGCACAGGCACATTCTTGTAACAAACTTAATCCTTTGAGTGAATTTTGCAACCTCCCTCTGGAAGAGTATGCTTTCATCAGGGAAGCTAGGAATTTTGAAATCGTGTATGACATGTGCTCCTAAAGTGAGCACATATCTCATTTGATGTAATTTATGATTAATGAGCATTCATAAATGAGTGCACAACGTTTGAGCTTGCCTGCAAGCTGAACTAATGATGATCGTCTCATTGTCAGACAGAAATGCTCAGATAACCAACTATTAAGTTCTGCTCCCCACAAAAAACCAAAATTAAAAATTAATTACCTCAGTTAACAAGTATTCCAACGCTAATTCGCTTATCTTCTGTTGGTTCCTGTGTTATTGTATGTACTACGTAGAAAAACACTGTTCATACAGTGATTAAACACTGTGTTGAATCAAAAGACATCGCATCTCAGGTGAGGTTTTTTTCTCTGAGGGATGCGATTAAAAAAACTTTTCTCTCTGTAAAACTGATATGCAATTGGAAGAGATTTACATCCTTGTTGGCATTATGTAGCATTCAGAATTACACGATACTAGCCCTATGTGGACTTGGATTGAGATATGTTGCTCCCCTCTTAAAAAACTCCAAATAAACTGAAAATTTTTTTATTTTAATAATTTATCAGGTAGATTCGATCAGTTGACTGCATAACTTAGATGGGGATGAATCTTAGATTTGCTGTTATTACCAGAGCAGTTTTCGTCGCTGATTTCTAAAATAACCTCAGTTTGCACCCATCATGTACCAGTTTTTGTGAATAGAACAATTTTTATGGAGCAAAATGTTGAGTTCACACAAAATACCATAATGATAGGAAGAAACACGGCTGCCACTTTCAAACGTAGGATTAAGAATAATTAATTAGTAAGTATTTCTCTTTTAATCATGTTTCTTATTCCCTTTTTTTAATGCTGTCTGCAAAAGCTTGCAGTTTTTTATGTCAGTTCATCATTTCTCGTGTTCCATGAGAATACTTTGATTCACCAGTCTCATTATTTAATGGTGAAATCACCAAATCATGTACCCGCGGTTTACGATGATGCACTTTTGCTGTCACATTTTTTAAAATTGACCGCGGGCGTCATGTTAGAAATTATTACAAAATATTAAGTTGCAAGGCTGCTGAAGTGTACCATAAATAGTTGAGAAGGTTTTTTCACTGAGAATATGCAGATATGTGCACATCATCAATATCATCATCATTCTTCGTTAGCTGTCTTCTGCCAGTTTATTTCACAGGTCTCATTGAACATCTTTATGTAGCATTTCTTTTGATTTATTTTCGTTCTGTCAAGAATATTTTTTGAACATTTTGAAAAGAATAATTGAAAAGCAGACATTTTCGAAGACCACGATCCATATCCCCGATTATTCAGGAACTTGTTTTCTAACTCATCATTTAAATTTTCGCGCGTGTCAGAGAATGATAGTTTCTTTTCTTTCATTGGCTGACACCTCAGTTCTGTCGCGGTTGCCGCAGAGAAAAAGTTTGTTTGGAAAACTGATAGACCATAAATATGCGGAAAAATTAATCGCAGGCGTCATTTATTTAACAAGGTACGCGGGTTTAAAAATTTTAGTAACTCAAAATTACACGAATCCATACCTATTTTAATGATCATTGGCTTTCAATGACGGTAAAGTTTTGATTGAAGTAACATTAATTTTTTTACTTCGAAGTTGCACTCCTGTATGAACACGAGCATAATGGCGTTCTTGTTTACTAGTAAACCGGCGAGTTTAGTGAAATGTCGCTTTTTTTGTCATTTTTAAGTTTTAGGATTTAGATTCTAAGTCCGAGAGTGTGGTCGAGCGCAACCTGTGAACTTTAAAAAGGTTTCTTTCATTATTCACTTGCCGTAGAAGAACGTTTTCCCATATTTCTGGGAGCGCAACACAGTCTGACCCTTAAGCTAAGCTGTAAGTAGTATGTATTTCCTCCATTCCTACATAATTGCAATTATTCTTTGCAAGCTTTCTACAACTCCGTTGTTGTTATATTGATAAGTCTCTTCTCTTGTGAAGAATTCAGATTAGATTAAGTTACTGCTCACAATTCTGGAAACGCAGCCTCCATGCGGTCTTACTTTTTAGAACTCGGAGGTTAGAGGTTGCGCGTTCTATGTCCTGACGAGTGTCTGGAGTCCATACCAAATAAGTTTACGTACAGCTAGGTTGTGATAGATGATCTGCCATCTTAATTCTTCCATATATTTTACTTGTGAAAGACGTCAGACGATTTTCTGTCGCAGTCTAGAAGTGCGTAAACTTATTTGGCGTGAACTATGCGCAGCCTTGATACAGCACCATCGGACAACTTTATTCATGTATCTATATGGCACCTTAGATAAGCGTTGATTTAAATCAAATCTGACATTTATTTTAACTATTGATGAGAGAGCTTTACAGTCTGAGTCGTTCATACAACATACCTACAAATTTTAACCCTCAGTTAAAGCAATAAAAATTTATCAGTAGATCAAAGAATAAGAGCGTTCTTGTAGAACTTGCTGCAGGAAAGTTGGCATTTGTTTACTTTTGACTGTCATGCACTGTAGAACAGTTTACATTGCTGTGCACAGTTGTGTCATAGCCTGTGGTCAATACTCGATGGATATAGGACAAATAGCTTGTAATTGGAATGAAAATAACAGTCAATCTATTCTCTATTGCCAATTTTAATGTAATAATGTACATTATAATACTTATATTTGCACCTTATGCAGTAGTTCATTTTACGAAGAGACCATATGGGTTTTTTTTTTTTTTTTTTTTTTTGCAGACTTACTTAATTTATTTTAGAAGATGGATAACCGACCTGGAATTCGACCAAGGATGGACGATAGAGGGGCCAAACGCCCGTGGAGAGATTCCCAAGGAGACGGAGGGGGTAGAGGCAGAGGAGCAGGGTAAGTAATCTCACCTAGCTCCAAATTCTCTTGTTTTTTTAAGGCCTGACCCATACTCCATTGTCATGCCTTTACTTTGGTGTTTGTCATCACCATTTTTATTTTTGAAACTTGTCTGACTGTAGCTAAGAGCACATTGGTACAAGAAGCATTCGTCCTTGGTGCAAAAGGTACATTGTATACTTGTGAGAAAATAATCTCCTTCGACTGTAAAAAAGGAAAGGCTAAACAAGAATGCTTTGGTAAATCTGCCCTGTAATCACCCAAATTATGTATTTTTTTTTTTACTTGAAGAAAGGCTAAAAGAATGATCGATTGGAATTTATTAAAATTTAACATAATCTTACAGTCCTTGAAAGTATTTGATGTCTTATTCAAAAAATATCCACCTAATTTTTGAAAGTCCTCAAACTTTGAAGTCGTCTGGTTGGGATTGCTTGTTGGGAGAACCACCAGTCCTTGTGTCCTGGGTGGGGGTAGGGGGGTGCGGGTTGCAGAGGTTTTTATTCAGGGTTTGAACCCACTTGTGCGCCACTGACCAAGCATGCCTCAATCTTGTATGCGCCGGGTGCAGGCGCCCTTCTTGATTCCTCTGTCAGTTATTTGCGGCTGGGACTGGCCGCGCGTTCTTGGCAAATGCGAGCAGTATTTGCAGGAACCTAGATTTTTCTCCGTTTTGAAGAAGCAAAAAAAAAAAAAAAAAAAAAAAAAAAAAAGAGTATGAAATCTGAATTGCGAAATTTAAAACCTCTGAGGCAGGGATACTGTGTGATATTTGAACTTCTCATTTTGTAGTTGTCAGACATTGCTCTGGGGCCTGGCATTTTTTCACATCAAGTCCCTCATGATGAAATAGTATTATTTTACTCTCCTTTAATTTTCAGGAAGAAGTTTTCAAAAAACCCGTCAAATGTCTCAGAATTTTCTCCATGACTTGGCTTTATAAACCCTTGCCACCTATTCTACCTTAAATATTGTTCTTTAACAATGAGTTTTCCTCTTTTTAATCATAGCCTTTCTTCATTTACAGGTATGGAGGTCCTCCTCCTTTCCGGTTTAGAGGTGGCCGAGGAGGTAGAGGAGGTGGACGAGGAGGCGGAGATATGGGAGGCAATGACATGGGTGGAGGTCATGATCCCCAAGATGGTCCCTTTATGGAACGTGATGAGTTTTTCAAAGGCAACTCCTTTGGACGAGGTGGACCACCAGACCGAAAATTTGACAGAGGCCCCCCGGGACACCCTGACCGAGGAATGCCAGACAGAGGTATGCCTGACCGTGGAATGCCAAATAGAGGAATGCCAGATCGAGGAATGCCGGACCGAGGAATGCCAGACAGAGATATGCCAGATCGGCCTCCACCTGACAGAGATTTACCGTAAGTTTGTTTTTTCTGTACCTCAGTAAGTTTGTAGGAGTAGAATGGAACTGAGACATTCATTTGTCCAGACACTCAATTGAATGAATTGTGAGGATTATACGCGACTGCTCAGTTGGAAGATATCAGTCATTCTTACTGCAGTATCATACCTTCCAAATAAATGACATTGATTTGGGATCAAAACTTTTTGACAGTGTAAAATTCATTTCTAAAATTGAACTGCAAGTATAAGAAATAAGCGCTTAATTCCATACTCAAAGTCATTAATAAGCATAAAATGGAAAAAAACCAGGGAATTTAGGAGACATCATTTGTGATTTGAAGCCATGGTTCCGCAGATCTTCGTCAAAGAACTGACACGGCGTGCTTGGTGTCTACGGATTTGCAACAATGAGTGCATTTCAAAGTCTGCATGGTTCCTCTCAAACTCTTGGTTCGTCAATTGCTGTTACCTCATGAAAGATCATTAATAAGACGTAGAAAATTACTGCTGCTGACAATGTTTTTTGAACACAAAGACCTGGCGACCGCTCATTCCTTATTTGTAAACAGAAATTTTGAGGGAGCTTTCAGAAATTTAATTCAACAGCATCAGAAAAGAATGATAAGAAATTCAAAAAGTATTTTTGGATGATCATTGTAACTACATATTGTAAACTTTGGAGGGAAACTGGCACTAAGTATTTTGCAAGAAATTATTATGAAGAAGTTATCCAACTTCTGACCTGGAAAAGACTGATTCGTTGATAAAAAATGAAAAGGTTCCAAAGTATTTTATGAAATCAGGGCCCTGAATTTTCTCTCTATTTCCCAAAACCTTTATATTTTCTTATTTTTCTTATTTGTTTTCAGCAATGATAGATTTAGAGCAGACGGTCCTCCACCAGAGTTTGTTAAGCCAGAAGTACCAGCTCTAGGTCAAGATAGAACTAATGATGTCGAAATTATTGTTGTGAATAGACATCTAACGTAAGTTTTTTTTATCACTTCAAGTTCAAAGTTGTCAGACTGATCACTAACCAATTAATTAAAAATAGAGTAAATGACAGGAAATGAAATTAACAAAAATTTAGTATGAAATAGCAGAAACGAACACCTGTTATATAAAGAAAGGGCTGTTACAAATTTATATTAATGAGTAACAAGAAAACTCAAGTATGTTAACTTTGAATTCTGTTACTTCGATCAACTCTTTATTAAGAGCTAGAACTGCTGCCTCACTGAATACCTAAGCATAATACCAAAGGTACTCTAGATTTTTTACCAAAAAAAAGTTCCTGCTTGTAAATTGAGTTGTTTGATGAGGAGTGAGGATGGGACTTATGATCCCGGGCCTATCATGTTAATAACTTTTCACATGGCTTATGGATACTCACACTTTTACCCTTTTCGGTGTCAAAATATTCAATTAATTTCAAAATTCATCATGCGAAAAAGGAGAAAGTCCGAGCATCCTTAAACCATGCTGTACATCATTAACAGTGGAAACCAGGGCTCAGGAGTTCTTGGGAAAACAATTCTAAAAAGTAAATTGAATAAAATTAAAATGGGACTGAAAATAATGGAAGAGGACTAACACCTACAGTGCTTATAAGTTTTTATGTGTTAGTTCTTGTTGATCCAAACACAGGTGTAGAAAATCCTCGAGCACGTTTAACGCAGCTTATGTAAGGAATCCCTCAGCACCCGAGAAATTTTTCAGTGAAAACTCCTTCTTAAAGCAAAATAATGATCTGAAAGAGATGGGTGTAGAATTTTCAAAAATTTTCACTCGACGCATTCCTCTAACCTTTCACCGGAGTAAAAAAAATTTTGAGGTGTAGATTGTGATCAATTACCTATTTTAAAGAATTGTCTGCATCTCTTGTGCCAGAGGAACAAATAGAAAGAAGGCAGACTTCAAGGAAAATGTATATAAAATCTAAAACAAGGCTCAATAAAATCCACCTCCAAATTGCTACCATTTTGCTGCTCAATAATTGCCATCAGTTTGTTTGTGTTTATCTCATTAGGCGCACACAGCATCAACCTTACCAGATCATTTTAATGTCAGGTTCATGAGTCAGTATGGATGGTCAAATATTTGGATAATGGAATATCCGATTTTCGAATTGTCAGCACTGAGATAATCGCATCACATTCGAATATTCGATATCGCAAGATTTGATTTCTTAAATGGACTGAGTTAAGCAGAAAGGAACCAACCCACATTTTGGAAAAAATTGAGTTATGAGTGGTTTTGAACTCAACCACTGCTCTACTATCTATCGCCAAAAATTCAAAGTTTTTGTCGGAGCAACTTTTGCAGAAATTGAACTTGAAGTTTATCTTTTACATTGAGTCTTATGCAGGAGCCAAACTTTAAACCTCTTTTTCTCGGTTCGATCCCGATGTGGCTTGGTTCCTTTCTGTTTAACTCCGTCCAAATAATCGCAATCAAAAAGTTTCGATTATTCAAATAATCGAATTCGATAACCGTCCATCCCATTTGTCAAACTGGTCATTAATTAAAACTCGTCCACAACTCCACAGACTGACTGTCTTAGTTAAAAGTGTCATTTATCTCTATTAATAACAGTCCCATGTTCCACGGTTCCAAAAAGTAAAAAATCGAAGCAATAATCGAAAACATTAGAATATTTGCTTCCAAAGTATTGGAAATTGCAAGATTCGATTTCTCAAATAATCGCAATAATTGCAATCGAAAAGTTTCGAATATTCAAATAATCGCATTTGAATTCGATAACCGTCCATTCCTAGTCAGATGCAACACGCAATGTTTCAAGAGTATAAGATTATGTCTTGTCTCATTTTTGTATCTTGTCTGAGTAAATGTACTCAACATTCTGAATTGTAAGAAAAAGCTCCTCCATTAACAAATGCTCTGTAAGTTTTAGGATGTATTTAGAAGGTATTTTCAATCCAAACACTTCACTGATTTGATATTTTTTTTGCTAACAGAGAGTATGCAGAGATAGTTGAATCTCACCTGAAGAACCTTGGAATGTCAGTTGATCTCCTTTTTCCGAATGAAGATGTCCCACTGGGGAGGGTTCTAGCCAACATCTCAAGTAGAGGAACTCTTTACGCTTGCTTGGTTCTCCCAGCCAATGCCGAACATCGTAGTTTAACAGTTAATATCCTCCATGGGCAGCCCCAAGGTAATTATTTTGGTCCCCTTATTTTGTATATCAATCTTATTTAGTCAAGGAACACAGAGGGTCCCAAAAGTACTCCATCTTTCCTTTTTAGTCGTGCGGCGAAGCCGTATAGACTCNCCAACATCTCAAGTAGAGGAACTCTTTACGCTTGCTTGGTTCTCCCAGCCAATGCCGAACATCGTAGTTTAACAGTTAATATCCTCCATGGGCAGCCCCAAGGTAATTATTTTGGTCCCCTTATTTTGTATATCAATCTTATTTAGTCAAGGAACACAGAGGGTCCCAAAAGTACTCCATCTTTCCTTTTTTTAACGGAATTATAAGAGCTATTTGCATGGTTCATGGCTCTAGATTGAATCCTCAACCTTAAAACAAGCCCCTGTGCAGATTTTTTCTTTAAAATTTTCCAAAATTAAGCTGTCATAACACAAGCGACTGTGCGGTCCAACAGTGTTTCATGCGGATTGATCGTCCATTTAGCATGTGAATGTCATTGATTATGCAGCCTGACCGCTCGTTTTATAGCAGCCTTATAACCCAAAGATGATAGTGGATTCTGTGATTTTAAATTTAAACTGAAAATGTGCATTTAAATTATTTAATTGTCTTTCTGATGGTCTTGCAACTCATTTACAGTATTATGAAAAACTGAGGGGGTAGATGTTGAACCCAAAAATCTATACTGAGGGTTAATTCTCGGTTGAGTACGCCAAGTTATGCTACTGCTCTTATGAAGTCATTCAGCACCAAGATGCAGCAGAGAAATCAGGAATAAATTAAGAAAACTTTCAAATGCTCCAGCATACTATTTTCAGCCCTGCAAAGGTTGAAACTTTTATTTAACGAGACACATCCTAATCTTAAAACTTTGAACTTGTTTTTCTCAAAGTCAAGAAAAAATATGACGTACCTACTTCCTTCAGTCACAAGAGGTTTCCATTGAGTGATATTATATTTTTGTCTTGTGTTTTTCAGAGCATCGAAACATGCCCCTTCAAGATGCTTTGAAACTAATTACAAGGGATTTTGATTCGTATCGGCTACAAAATGAAAAAGGACCTGGAGGAATCCCTCTTCAAGACCTCACTCCTTCTACTAGCCAGCATCCAGAACCTATTCAAATGTTACTGAATGCTCTCGCAGCCAACAGACAAGTAACCGTTCTTCAGTTTGACAAAATCATCGCTTACCTTCGCGAAAAGAGGGAAGTGCAGTTGAAATTAGAAGTTGGAGATACTAAATTGCCCAGCACCACAGGTTTGTTAGCAAGTCAAATGATTCCTTCCTTGAGGTTCACTCCATGATTAATCTGATTGACGGTTCTAGAAATGACAAGGACTTGATTTCTGATTGGCTTTATTAAGGTTGCCACAGTTAGAGTAAACCGGGAAATGTCAGGGAATTTTAATGAGTCAGAGTAAACTTGCAAATTTATGTCAAGAAAAATGAAGAAAGTGTCAAGGTAAAATTTCACCTTGATTTGCTCTCTAGACTGGGTTTGGCGTTAAAAACAAACAACAAATATTGCTTGACAACTATTTCGAATTACTTCTTTTCAATCATCTGGCATATTCTCAATTGTCAGAGAATTTTACCAAATTGTGGCAGGGAAATGTTAGGAAATTAAATTTCATTTTCTAAATTTTGTGGCAACCCTGCTTTATTCTACAAGTTCGCTAGAGATCATTCGTACCCCTTGATTATGTTGTCTCGTATGACCATAATTTGACTTCCTGTCTTGTAGTTTATCAAAATTAGACAATTCAGGTCAAATAAATTATGACTCAAACAAAACAAAGTTTACCTAATTTTGGTAACATACATCACCAAATCAGATTATTTGTAAATTCGTTTGAATGTGTTTACGATGGCTTTTAGTGTCAGAGTGGCTTCTCCTCTCTTCATCTATGAAGTTTGAGTCAGTGGAAGTATTGACTGTCACAGTTTGTTAACCTGTGTGTCTACTGAAGTCATAGACTAAATGGTTGTATTGGTTGGTGTTAATAAGATAGAGAATGCCAAAAAAATGTTACTAACTTAAAATCTGGACGTCTTATTATTTGCTCATAGACGAGTATTCCTGAACAGTAACTTGAACAGAGTGACAGCAGGTGAACACTTAAAATTAGCCACTGTGCCACCTTGTTCAGTCATTGTTAGAATGGGATCACCAATATCACAAAAAGTTCTTCAAAAATATTTAAGAAGGAAAAGAACTTGCATTTTGAGTACTACTTAGCAGCAAAAATATGCGACTCGAAATCAAATTGAGAACCTAATTTTTACTCGATTGCTGTTATGTTAGCCATATCTCCATCCAAAATTGTTGAATATGTATTTTAATGAATGTTTGTTTTTATTTTCTCTCCAGAACCAAATCCTGCAAATCCTCAGCAAGCAGAACTGCAACACCGTATCTTGAACATACTGAATCAGTCGGGTGGCTCTGGCAATCCTGCCGGCAACGGACCTCAACGAGGCCCATTTAATGGACCTCCTCAGAAAGGTGGACCTCCCCAACAACAAAACAGACCCGGTGGCCCAGGGGGTCCTCCTGGCTCAAACCCTCCATTATTAAATGATCCAAATGTCCAAAAAGCTATCGATAACCTTCTTCAAGGAGACCTCATGAAAAAAATAGGTCCCAATTCAAATCCTCCCTCCCAGCCTCTCTTTGGAGCTTTCGCAAATAATTCAGGTGGTGGACCCCCTGGTGGTGGCCGAGGAAGAGGGAGATTTTAGATTCTAAGTATTTGGTTCTAATTTAGGTCATGCTAACACCTGACATGAAAGTTGTGCCACTTGAAAAAGTCCCGTAAAAATTCTCCTAAATATGACCCTTGTACATTTTATAAACCAGTTAGGAGTCTCAGAATGTAGTTTTGCTGGTCAAATCTTGCAGACTGCAGAAAATAGAAGTGATCTGTTCCAAAGCCAAATTTCTGCATCAAGAAAAACGCTGTAGAAAATATTATCCGTTAAGCTTTTTGAAGATAGGTAAATTCTCGATGAGGAAGGTTGGCAATGCAGAGAATCTCACTATTTTTTGCTGGTTTGTCTGATTGAACCATGGAAACAAGATTCTACTTCTGGTGCAACCAATTCAATTCATGTGTACAATATTCTTAATTCTTCACCACTCATTTAAGATCGTAAGTACCTTACTTTAAATCTTTTTTTCTTGGAAAGTTAAGATTTCCTATTTACTTTCCCTTTCTCTATAAGCAGCATTAAACCATCATGTTTTTAAAGGGGCAATCAACAGTTAGTATGCGTTGCCCTGTCTGTCTACTTTTTCTATTTTCATCACCATTGTATTCTAATTTTTTTTTTTTTTGAGTCTCCGTCAAGTCAGCAAGCTTTGTGTATTTATGAATGGTTTTACTCAAGATGATGATGAATATGTTTGTATCATTAGTGCAAGTAATTGTTACAGTTTTGTTTTTTGTTTATTTATTCAATGGTCTGGAAATTATTCTGTCATGACAACCATCAGCGAAAGCGTTTTGCGAAACAATTGCTTACTCTGTGAAATTCTCGTAAGCCTGAATCAAACTTTTTTGTATTCTGACAAAGCCTTATTCTGCTAAAGCTACAAACACAGTAACAAAAGAAATACCTCATTAGTAAGAACTTTCAAACAACAATTTTTATCAGTGTAAAATGGAGATAGCCTCTAGTATTGAGATCAGTTCAGGAGAAACCATTAATTTAGAGAGTAACAGGAAGGAAAGCTTGTATTTTGTACGCTCAAAATATATTTTTAAAAGTCAAATTATAAAAATATTGAACAACATTACAATCTTTAAGACAATTTCTCTGTAATGCTATTTCTACTAAACTGAAATGTAAATAGACTGGCCACATTTCATGGAAATGTTTGGTTTTATATTTTGGACAGGAAAACAAGTAGGGAAAGAGCAAACAGGAGCAGAATGTGGAAGTAAAGAAAGTGCTCAATTTCTCTTTTTTATAAACAAATAAAATTAATTACATACGACCCTAGACCAATAAAATTGAATGACAGTTGAATTGTACCTTGGCGGAAATTTATCGCACTTCATTTTTGGAGTCAAACTAATTTATTCAACCTATTAATTCACCTTGAGTTTTAAAGGCATTGCACTCGTATTTTACTTTTTGGACTCTTTTTAAAAAAAAATAAAAAATAAAATAAATAATTAATTAATAAAATTACTGTTGTACCTATTCAAATGCCATAACTTTTTGTTGTCTAGTTTCCTGAGAAATGTCATCTGAATTTATGATTATAACTGAAAAACGTTTTGATGCGATCTTTCGTCTTCTATGGTAGAGTCTTACCTTTTCAAATGAATTTGATCCAGAGATTTTGCTTTCTTTAAAAAACTGACTCGTGTCAAATCTGCAATCATACAATTTTGTAGTTGTCTTAAGCCCGTATGAGACTATCAAAGTAGAGGCTTCAAAGAGGTTCATCAATACCTTCCCGGACACTCTCATTGGCCAGCGGTTTAAGTTGGGGCAATCGATGAGTCTCTTTGAAGCCTCTACTTTGATCGTCTGATATGGGCTTCATTCAAGAGTATATTGAAACGTTTTCAGCTATCATTTCCGAATCATCAATATTCCTGTCCTGAAGCCTTTAAGATTATGAATAGTGTTAGTCTTGTGAGTACTGATTCCAGTGCATGACACCTTTTGATCTTACTTAATATTTGCAGAGGTAACTGAAAAATGATCATGGAATAGCTGGCTTTCATATATTGCCTGTCCAAAAAATTTCTGTAGTTAATTAATTAATGATTTTTTATTCACAACCAGGTAAGTTTCTCTGTAGTTTGCTGTTATTGATAAAATCATCAGCTCTCTTCTGCCGTGCTAAGGAAAAACGCCTTATGTACTTTCGAGAGTTGCCAACTTTCCCTGGATAAAACGTGTATTTTTTAAAGAGGTTATGCATATTTTTTCTCAAAATTTTCTATAATTTATAAAATTTTGATATATTTTGTATTAAATTGTGAACCAAACTGTCGGATAAATTGGAAGAAAATACTAACAACTTTTTTTTAATAAATTCGTATTTGTCAAAAGAAATGTGGCTACACCTGAAGGTTCCTAAAGCGTTTTTCCTTAGCACGGCAGTATTATCTATTGTATATTTTTCAGAGTGAACAAAAATCATTGTGTAAATATTGAGTGAGATGAGAGTCTGTTTAACCGGAATGAGATGCTCTTTTTAGTTGTTTACATTTAGAATTTTTGTATTGTATTTCCTCGTATTTTTGCTGTGAGACATTTTCTCATAATTTTGGGGAGTTCAGTGTCCAGGTTTTGTAGAAATGGCATCATTCAAGTAACAGAATAAAATCTCTTTCTTCACATTCCTTTGAGTTGCTCTATCAATACCCATCTTTATGTTTCTCTAGATTAAGACATGGCCATGAAGACACGGCCATGGACACGGCCATCTGTTGACAAGAAGGAGCTTGACAAATCGTCGGAAGCCAACCTCAGTCTCTTGAAGTAGGCAAAGTTTTATAAAACGTTTCATTAAGCAAAAAATAAAATGATTTGATAAATTGACAGGCTGGAACTTTGTTCTACCCCATCACTTGGCATTTGTGGAACTTGAAGATGAGTCGAGCTCTCCTTTCCATTCCATCTGTTTAAGGTGAATCTTCAGCTGTAGTTCCGGTAAAATCCACCACGTCTTGCTGCGCAAATGTAGCTCTGAAATTCGTGATTATTTAAAAATTAGGTACAACAGACATATTAAATTCTAGCTCATTATTTTTCGCCAACGGAGACTGTCTGAATATTATACGGAGGACGGCACCGCTATTCAACGTCGACCGTATCTCGTATGCTCGTGCTGTCTCTGCTATACTCCCGCGCTAAGTAAAAACGCTGTATGAACATTCGAGAGTTGCCAAATTTCGTCCGATGAAATATTTACTTCAGAGGAAAGTGAAGAAAAAAAAAAAAAACAAAAAAAAACTAAAAAGTGGCCCGAACTGTATGTAACAAGGTGGAGAAATGGTGCTGGGTCCACACCATTTCGCGGGGAAACAAAGTCAAGAAATTCCAAAAATTAAAATTAGAGTCAAAATTAAATTTTTGAATTAAATTTTCAGAGGAAAGTTACGAATATTTTTCCTTGAAATTTTCAGGAACTTTGGGTGGTATTGCGAACAAAATCATTCGAGAAATTGGAAGAAAAATATTCATAAGTGTACCAAGGAATTCGGGTTTAATCAGAGGAAATTTTGCAACACCCCAAGGTGCGTACGGCGTTTTTCCTTAGCACGGCAGTATACCGAGTTGGCGAAATCGTTCCGTCCGGGGACAGGTCACGGTCACCCCCGCTGCCCAATCCGCGAGCTGGCCGGTGTGTTTGCCTATTCCTTGAGCTGGGCAGCCAGGATCCAATGCCAGTCCAAGAATTGACCGGTCAAAAGTCTGAAAATAACGCCAACAACGAGCCCCCAGTCGTTAATTTTCAATGAAATCAACACGCTAATCGCCGAATATCCCCCTGATGACTTCTGACGAATTGAAGGGGTGGCCACATGGGCCGCGGCCCATGGCGGCAAATTTTGCAATCTTTTTGAATGTAGGTATCGAAAAATGAGAGAAAACAATCTGATTCAGAAAATAAATTACAAACGAGAAAAGGCGACAAAATCTCTCATTTCCTGAGAGTGAAAGTATAGTAATTTCTAATTTTGTCGTATCTCGATGATACAAGAGACAACACCTTTAATTAGTCGAGTTAAGAGAGAAACCAAACACGCAATTTGACCTGGAACGGAGTGGTGCGGCGGTCGGCATGAAAATCATAGCGCCTACAAGACTGCATGAATACTTCACGCATTGCGTCAAACACACTGCGGTCGGCAGCAGTCGGCTTGAAACGCATAGCGCCTACAAGACTACATGAATACTTCACGCATTGCGCCGTGCCTTTCGATATTTCGCCTTTCGTCTTTTAATATATCACAAAAGTTTGTTCGCAATTGAATCGGAATGATCTGAAACTTTCAAAGAAAAATATTCATAAGTTTCCCACAAAATGGTACTTTTGCCAGAGACATTTCGACGGTGTTAGTCGGCAATCACATATCTTGTTTGCGGTATCTGAAAATCTCCGCCTCTAAGTTGTTTTTTTTTTTTAAAGGAGAACACATTGACATCAGTCCTTGAAGTTTTTGTAGAATTTTCTTCGCGCAGAGAAGAAAAATCACGGCAGTTTTAAAGAATTGCCGTTGAGTAGTATTTCGTTCAAAAAATTAAGTTTGATATAGGAAGTCTGCGACGTCGCAAACCGAGTTATGTGATTGCCGACTTACATCGTCGATTTGGGAACATTCCAATGTTCATACGGCGCGGCGGTGACGGGGACTTGATGCAACTATTAAGCTTGTTGGATGTCCGTATCGGTCCGACTGAAGTGCGAAACCACGTATCTCCATTGCGGTGTTTCAAAATTTCCGCTCTTAATTCATCTCTTCCATGAGAAACAATCTAAATTAACGACTTTAAAGTTTGAACCAAATCTTCTGCTATCGATTACGAAAAATCATGGAGAATTTAAGTTTTAATGTTGACCACCTTCTCGAAAGAAAAATAGAATTTCTAAGGAAGTCTGCAACGTCGCAAATGGAGAAACGTCGCCTCTCATTTTGCCCGAAAACATGTATGTATAAAATTGAAGGCATTATGACTGGCCTCTCTCAACTTATATTCGTCTGTAACGATAAACAATGGGACGCGCTTGCTACGGCGCCTTGATACAACTATACAACCTCGACGGATGTCCGTATTGCGTTCAAAAAACTGAAGGCGTTTTGACTTCCTGCGCATAATACCTGTAGTTGATTCGATCGACAAACGCGTTGGTCGGTGGTGACGGGGACTTGATGCAACTTGAAGCTTGTTGGATGTCCGTATCGGTCCGACTGAAGTGCAAAACCACGTATCTCCATTGCGGTGTTTCAAAATTTCCGTTCTTAATTCATCTCTTCCATGAGAATAAAGGAAGTTCAAGGCGTTCTGTGCTGCCCGCGATGAAAGCCAATCGTTTGATACAACTTAATTAACTTGGGTGTGGTGTTGGGTTGCATCGTCAAATCTGAAGGCGAACTAGCAGCGATTTCTTTTCGAGACGAAATATCGTTGTTTTTTTATTTGGATCAGTGGTTGCCAAGATATTGAGGTTTTCCCACTTACACCTCTTTACTCCGTAGTTTTAAAAAATCCCACCGCTGAATTTGCTTAAATCTGCGTCAACTCTTGTCGTCGCCGCTCCTAATCGCAACTCGCAAGAGCGGTGATCAACGTCACACAGTGGATCGAGTCAATGTGAGAGGTCGGACAAGAAAATTTTTACTAAAACTGCAAATTTTGATGTTTAATTCGCCACATTTCAAATTGTAAGGGGTGCCTCCAGAAGATAATTTCACGAGAAAGCCAATGGAACCACTTTTAAAACCTCGAAGCTCCGTATGGACAGAGTTATAAGCTTTTAAAGTTTCCAAATTTTGTCCGGCTACTCTCATTAACTCGATCCACCGTGCGTCGTATCAGTCCAGAATATCGAAAAGCACCTTTTTACCGATGAAATCTACCTTCATTCTCATGAATGCACTCACGTGCATCATTTGGACGTATTTCTGTCAAACGGAACTAAGCGCCAATTTGAGTTCCATTTGAGGACTTTAGAATGCCGGATAGCGCGTTCTGTCAAACAGAACTAAGCGCCATGGAAAAGCATTGCGAGTATTGGACGGAACGGGCAAGACGCTCGTTTCCGCCGCCAATCCAAGCCCCCCTCTACCTCCCNNCCCCCCCCCCCCCTATGGAGCTTACTTCCGTTTGATAGAAATACGTCCGTTTGACAGTCAAAGAGGGTCATGTCGAAAATGGTCAGGTTAGGTTGAACTCTGTAGCTGGGCGTGATTAAATGAGTAAAACTCAAAGACATAAAGACGGAGCGCTCGTATCTAAAAGCACGGGGAAAAAGTGAAGCTAGGTTCGGCGCTGCGCGCTTGTGTGAGTGTGTAAATGAGCGCGGGAATCCATGGCGGCAAACGGAAATTTGATTTGAACTTGTCCTCTTGATTTTT